ATTAAGGGCTTGATGCCTATACACGCACGAGCGTGGGATGAGAGCCCCATTGCATCTGGTCTGAATGCAAATTTTTTATTGATTTTTTTAAAAAAATATACGCTCATGCGTGCATAGATTGATTTATATGTTCACCGTCTTGCCGATAGTAATCAATGACGTCAATGAAATTCAACTTGCTGGTGGAGGTCGCTCAGTGCCTTAACGCATGAGCTCTGAGCCGGCACCGCTGAGAGAGAGAGAGAGAGTTTCAATGAATCAGGGTGTCGGCTAACCCGTGACCAAAACCGGGTTTCACAAGCGTAGCTAGTTTTATGGTCTCAGACCTGTCACAAAATTACCGCTTAACATTCATTTGCTTTTGTCTTTTTTTTAATTTGGCACAACAAGGGGCACTAATGGACACATGCGATTCACGTGGTGGTGGTGGTGGTGGTGTTGCAGCGCTCCACCAGGCGAAAACAGAACCTCGACCAAGACAAGGAATGGCACCAGAAATAAAAAAAAGATACACAGCACAAGCAGAGCCGTGCAGAATTTGACACACGTCCATGCACAGCCCCTTTGCGAATCCACTTCTGGACGAGGGCACCATCCCCCCACTCTGTGCGGGTCGTGGCGGTTTACGTGACAATAAGCACCTCAGTACCGTATCTTTGGAATTATGGAATAATTTAAATGCAGATATATTACCATACTTCACCACGCTGGTGAGTGCGGGTTGGTGAATGTGAAGAACATTGACGTGAGAGCATAGCAGTAACAGTGGAGTACTGTACAACAATTTATTTTGCTGTACTGCCCTCTGTGGCCCACCATGTAGCTTCGCAGGCCAACATAACCCATTGCTGTGCATGGTAGTTGCCCATCCGAGCACTATTCAGGCTCGGCCCTGCTTAGTTTTCGAGATCTGATGAGATCAGGAACATTCCGATTGATTTGGTCATAGGCAGTGGGAGGTGAGATTGGTCAAACGAAGTGACCCAAATGGAGTTCTCTGTGTCACTATCTGCGGCTGGTTCCTAACTTGACATTGCGCTGCTCTGCTGGGGGAGGTAAACAAGGACAGAGCTTTCACGGTATGCAATCATTCCGATATCACAACACGGATGGGGCTGGGTTGGAGTGTTTGACTCACAGTTGTATAATTGCGAGCTCCAAATCCGCATCGTCAATAGACGTAGCCCCTACTTGGTGGGAAGCAAATGGTGGATGTCTTATTGATAAAGTGGTCTCTGCCACAGTAGCATGGAATTCCTACCACGCAGGCTCAGGTCAGCTCATGGAAATGAGTCCTGCACCAATGCTGGTTGTAACAAAGAACCACTGACTAGACTTAATTATGCAAAGCTGACTGGACCAACGGCAGTGTAAGACAGGCCACCTTTGACCCATGCCTTGACAACAGAAGGCCACGTGACCAAAGAACATCTCCATAGCTCTGAAATAAAAGGTAAAGATGCAGCGCTGGAATTGCTCGCTCATGCCGCTGCTGATGGAAGGGCCTCCGATAGAGGAAGCTCTAGTGAACCGCTTTGCAGGGCATTTGGCCTACTCTTCTACGCTTGCCAGACGTCTTGGGAGGTGGAAGTACCCACCCTTCAACTCGCCACATGTGACCTGCCGATTAACCAACAACCGTGGCGTACCCATTTATACTGCTGGGTGAACAGGGGAGGTGGGATTTAATGTGACTTACAAAACACCTAAGGTGACATCCATTGCAGGACTAGGTCAGCAGGCCCGCTGCGTGTGGGAATAACAAGCTGAAATCAAATCTCTAAACGATGACAAAACCCATCATAACCGAAAGCGTGGATCGGATTATTCATAACAAACTGACTTTAAAAATTTTGGGGTGGTAAAGACGTTTCCACTTATGAGTCCTATCCAAGAACAGCTTGTGTGCAGGCGTGCGTGCATGGGTATATGGCTGTCTTGTGTGTGTGTGTGCAGTGGTGCAGTGGTTTGTGTGCTCTGCTACAAACCCTGGCGACCCAAGTTCAATTATCGCTCGCAACATCAGTGGCGAATACCTGAACAGATCCTGAGGCTTCGCCTAGGTCAACGCAACCTTAAATGAATAAATGAATACCTGGTGCAGTGTGTACACATCAGCACTGGGGAGACATTTTTTATGTTGTGAGATTAACACTGGTGGTGCTGCCCAAGCAGTGAAAGATTTGGATTGTTTGATTCACGTGACACTTTTATGAATTGGCTGCGTCGGGTGGAGGAGGCTTTACGACACACACACATTTTTGTTTACACGACAATTGCCCGCTGCGTGTGGGAATAACAAGCTGAAATCAAATCTCTAAACGATGACAAAACCCATCATAACCGAAAGCGTGGATCGGATTCTTCATAACAAACTGACTTTAAATTTTTTGGGGTGGTAAAGACGTTTCCACTTATGAGTCCTCCACGACGTCCGAGCCACTGTGAATTTGACGCTCGTGGCTGCAACAGAAAAGGAAGCACGGGAACAGCAGAGCTTGGTTCCCCCTTCAACAACCCCCCTTACCCCCCCCCACCCCCGTGGTGGCACCCGCAGGCCAACTAAGACACGTAACGACGCAAGAGCTCGTCTCGGAGCAGCTTCCACCGCCAACGCCAATTAAAAATCTAGGGCAGGGAGTTGTGCGAGGACACGCTCCCAGTGCCTCGATCGTTTTTGCACAGATTTGCTGCAAAAGCAATTTGTGCAAGAATGCTTTTACGCATCCCTGCGTAAAAGCAACATCACGGAGTTTTTTTTTGTTAAATCCCTAATGTGACGCTTTCCGACGCGTTAATCGAAGGAAGGCTGCACCTGCACCAGAAATGTAGCGGCATCAGTTGACCGATTTCGTAGTCACGGTCTCAGGTTTCAAGGTGAGATCAGATCACAACGAGGATGGCCTGTGAATGAGCAGGACCTATTAAACGGTCCCTCTGTGACTTGCCAAGCTTTCTCCATGGGTTTATTTTTTTACATATGCGACGATCCTGTCATGTACACGCTTTAAAACTGCGCTTCATTGCCACACTTTTCATATATATACGCTGCTCAGTAATAAGGCCTTAGCATGGAGTTAGAGAACTTGACGGTTTATCTCAACAATTATTTCCCCCCCCCCCCCCTCCCAAAAGATACGTGTATTTTCATCATTACTGTGTACGTGACAAAAGTCAGGTGACACTGTCAGAGGAGCACTTGGCTCGCAGTTGGGGCAGGTTGCAAGTTTAAACCCTGGGCTGCTATTCAATGTGCGCTTCACACCCCTTGCTTGTGTCCTTCAGTGGCAGGTCCGCCGCCTGTTTTAGGCTCAATCCTGCCAAGTGCCGTTCAACGGCAAGCCAATGCTCGCTGACGAGGGGCTTGCCGTAAGTGGAGTGAGAGGTTTGACGAGACGTGAAGTATGAGTACTGCAATGTGGATGTTTTTTTGCAAGTAATGTTCACAGCAAAGGAAGGTGGTCATTTGAAATATTTAATGTATTCTGGGTGATATTTGTAGCAAGGAAGGAAAATCACACGTACGCATGGACCCCCACGCGATTGCCAAAATATGTTTGTCCTCGGCAGCACGGCATTTAATTGGCTACAAGAAACTTACCTTTTGAGTTACAAAATGTAAACGTCACATGGCACGGGATGAAGAGTGGATGTCTCGAGATGACATCACACATCATCACGTCATGGGGAGGGGCATGGTGTGTGAGGTCATAAACCTTGGCTGGAAAAGTTTACTCGCTATCGATGCCTTCTTTTTGCCAAGCTGTGGGTAACGCTTTAATACATCTGCCCGGTTTTCTAGAGGGCACATCCTTACTAGCAACACAACTTCAAACGAACATTTAATTTATATTAGATCATTTGTGCGAGAGTTATCGTCACCCTCACCCCCAACACAGAAACCTGGACAGAGCTAATTAATTAACGATCTCAACCTGACTTGGGCAGCGCAGTATTGCAAAGTCGTCAGTTTCCATAGGTAATAACCATTCAACTCTCTGGGTGGACATTCTTGACAGTGGCGAACGGGACGACTCTTTTGTTGCAGGTGATGTTGATGCTGGCGTCGCTGGCGTGGCTGGTGATGTTGATATGGCTGGTGATGTTGACGCTGGTGTTGCTGGTGATGTTGATGTGGCTGGTGATGTTGATGTGGCTGGTGATGTTGATGTGGCTGGTGATGTTGATGTGGCTGGTGATGCTGATATGGCTGGTGATATTGACGCTCGTGTGGCTGGTGATGTTGATATGGCTGGTGATGTTGACGCTGGTGTTGCTGGTGATGTTGATGTGGCTGGTGATGTTGACGCTGGTGTTGCTGGTGATGTTGATGTGGCTGGTGATGTTGATATGGCTGGTGATGTTGACGCTGGTGTTGCTGGTGATGTTGATGTGGCTGGTGATGTTGATATGGCTGGTGATGTTGACGCTCGTATGGCTGGTGATGTTGATATGGCTGGTGATGTTGATGTGGATGGTGATGTTGATGTTGCTGGTGATGTTGATGTGGCTGGTGATGTTGATATGGCTGGTGATGTTGATGTGACTGGTGATGTTCATGTGGCTGGTGATGCTGATGTGGCTGGTGATATTGACGCTCGTGTGGCTGGTGATGTTGATATGGCTGGTGATGTTGATATGGCTGGTGATGTTGACGCTCGTGTGGCTGGTGATGTTGATATGGCTGGTGATGTTGGTGTGACTGGTGATGTTGATGTGGCTGGTGATGCTGATGTGGCTGGTGATGTTGACACTCGTGTGGCTGGTGATGTTGATGTGGCTGGTGATGTTAATATGGCTGGTGATGTTGACGCTCGTGTGGCTGGTGATGTTGATATGGCTGGTGATGTTGGTGTGACTGGTGATGTTGATGTGGCTGGTGATGCTGATGTGGCTGGTGATGCTGATGTGGCTGGTGATGTTGATGTGGCTGGTGATGTTGATGTGGCTGGTGATGTTGACACTGCTCGGGATAGACGATGCTCACGTTGCGCACGAACCTTGTGCTTCTGCTCTCGCTCCTTGCCGACTCGTGCCATCAGCTGTCCCTTGCGGCGGTTCAGGGCGTCGACGAGCGCGTCGCATTGCGCCACGAGGCAGGCCTCCAGCTCCACGCCGCTCTCCTGCCGACAAAGACAAAGATGTCCCGTGTAGCCGTAACAGACTGTAGGGGCAAGTGCTGTTAGCGAGCACCTATGAAGGCCGGCACAGCACACGAGGGGGTGGGTGGCCAGCGCCATGCCCGACCGGCTTTGTCTCCCCAGTGGCGAAGTATACCCGCTGCACCAGCTGCTCCTTTGAGGCCGACTCGACCTAGGGGAGGCTCAGGACCGGTTTAAATCGTCGTCGCCGGTGTTAGCCATGAGCGGGAATCGAACTCGGGTCGTTGGGTTCGTAGTGCAGCGTACTAGCCGCTACACTACCACTCCCCACAAACACATGCACGGGGGCCGTCCATAAATGACGTCACGCGATTTTGGACGATTTTTGACCCCCCCCCCCCTTCGTCACACGGCGTCACAAAAAGTCAGACACCCCCCCTCAAATATGACGTCACAAAGCTCTGCCCCCCCCCAAAAAATATATAAAACATGCTTCAAATCGCTTTAAACTATTGTCATTGTAGTGCGTATTTAACGTGGCGCTGCACATTTCTCAACCCCCCCCCCCCCCCTCGTCACACATCGTCACAAATGTCTGACCCCCCCCCCCCCCCCCAGGTGCGTGACGTCATTTATGGACGGCCCCACAGATGGACACGTGACCCCAGGAGTATTGCAGTCCCGGTTGCCAAAGTGTTACGAATGGGGTTGCTACCTCTCTTGTTTATCCCCAGACCGTCCACAGTACAACCAGAAAAACGCACCAAAGAGTTTTAAGGTCAAAACTGCCTCCCTTCTCAAAGAAGCAACGGGGCAGAGGCTCATCTTTGTTGGTGGCCCTGAGGCTGTAGTGACACTTCACATTCCATATTGTGGGGGCCCAGAACATCCGCATGAATATTCAACTACGGCCCATTGAACACCAGCTACGTAAGCACAGTCCAGGCAGCCCTTCCTCCTCAGCCATATCTACAAGAGGGCATTTGCTTCCCCTCGCGGTGGTGCCGGTGGGGGGAGGCGATAAAGACACTGGAGGATGAGGGGAGGGGCACATTTAAAGCTCCATCAATCATTGCTCGTCACGGCTGTCCTATCCAAGAACAGCTTGTGTGCAGGCGTGCGTGCACGGGTATATGCCTGTCTTGTGTGTGTGTGCAGTGGTGCAGTGGTTTGTGCGCTCTGCTACAAACCCTGGCGACCCAAGTTCAATTATCGCTCGCAACATCAGTGGCGAATATCTGAACAGATCCTAAGGCTTCGCCTAGGTCAACGCAACCTTAAATGAATAAATGAATACCTGGTGCAGTGTGTACACATCAGCACTGGGGAGACTTTTTTTATGTTGTGAGATTAACACTGGTGGTGCTGCCCAAGCAGTGATACATTTGGAGCGTTTGAGTCACGTGACACTTTTATGAATTGGCTGCGTCGGGTGGAGGAGGCTTTACGACACACACATTTTTGTTACACGACCATTGCGATGTGTATGACGCATTTACGCGAGCACAGCCCTAACATTTGAAAATCGCTCGCATTTGCCGACTTGTGAAATATTAAGTGGTCTTTCCTTTGCAGGCTTTGCAGAGTTCAGGAAATGCCTGTGCCGAACCGAAAGCACTCCCAGTTGTCTATCCTACGATAATTGGCACAACAGTGCCAAATCAACCAATTAATTTACAAAATATGTGTCACAAGTATGGGATGTGTGGGCTAACATCACAGCGTTATTATCGGAGCCCCTCTAACAGCACGCGGCACAATCAGACGACACATTTGGCCCTACCACATTGGAAAGAACGGTGCTTATTTGAGCCTAGAGGGTGGGATGTTATACACACCCGTTTGTGATGTTGACTTGGGAAAAGTCATCAGTCTACGATTGCTGATTAGCCATGGTTGTAGGAGTAATAATCATAATTAAAAATATCAATTATCCATGATCTATCCACCGCTGCATGAAGGCGTCCCTAAGCAGTCTCTCACGTGTTTGTGATGCAACAATCCATTTGGGTCCTGCACACATGCTGATTTCGTTCATTTGGGTGTGTTTCCTCATTCAGTTGCCGCTCCATCATTAAGTCTACACCATAGGGCATCATCCCTTCTGGCGACGTGTCCTGCCCATGCCCACTTACTTCGACATGATTGCTCTGCTTCGAGTTTTCTCTCCCATCCACGCGCTCCTCTCTCTCGTCCCTCGGTGTAGTTTCAAGCGTGCACACTTCTCCATTCTAACTTCTAAGCTTTCGTCCCATGCTCGATCTCAATGTCAGTGTTTCCCAATCCACGCATCGTAGCAGGCAACGTACAAAGCGACGAAATAAAGGAGGTTGGTGGGATGTGAACAGATTCGAGTGCTTTTGGAAAATGCAGCCAAAGAATCAAAAGGCTCAAATGTGCCTAAAGAATGAAGGCGTAGTAAGACACACTTTAATTCTGCGATTGGGATTTGCAAAATTGTCGGGTTATTTCATTACGTGAGAAACTGCTTTCTTCAAATGAACCTCTGTTAGGCCGATAAAGCGTGGAAATGAGAGCAGGATGCTACGCTGCCACCGTCCAACACCCCCCCCCCCCTCCCCCCGCATATGCGGTCAGTGTCACCTTGTGCTTGTTTTTATATCACTTTGAAATTTACAAGAGAAAATACGACGGTTATCTTAAATTAATCAGCTGGTTGTCTGATTCATTGATTTTAAAACAAAAAATCATCTACGGCCTTTTGTCAATCCACTGCAGGAAGTAGGCCTCGCCATGCCCTGTCCAGTAATGGTGGTTGTTTCACCATACTTCACCACTCTTACTTGCTGAGATTTGTGAAGCTTGTGGTTGGGGGGCAGGAACAATTCAGTTACCACTCGCCACTGATATCAATCCACAGCTGGGAATCTAACCCAAGAGATTGGGTTCATAGCGCAGTGAGATAACCACAGCGCTGCTGCCCCTCCACGATTAATCTGATTACACACTGGATGAAGGGAGTTACAAGCAAAAAAAATACAGAGCGATGGGATTCTGTCTCGAGAAATCTGATTACAGCCGCACGTTATTCGCAACACGTCACTCCCAAAAACCGCGTGTCATGTCGATGAGAAATTCTTACGCTTCCCTTCGCCGCGAGTCAAAGCGAGTCTCCGCGACGGCTGAGTGACACCGGGTCAGCGCGTGTCTTCCACACGACGCCCAGGGGCCGATCGGGCTGAGGCCAATCCCGTGGCACGCCACCCCCAGCCGGGTTCCCACGACCAGGCGGAGGGTGCGTGGCCACGATGCCACCGCTCGCAATCGTTTAGTCTCGTTGATTAGGTCGCACAATAACCGTCGTAAATCACTCTGTCAGGCCAATCAGTGCCATGCGAGGCAGTCCCCGACTTGCACACAGTCGCTCGGCATCGTACCTCTTTTTTTGGGGGTGGGAATGGAGCGGCTGCTATGGTCGTGTCGGCGTTGGGCCTAAATCCTGGGATGTAGGGGTTAGAGTAGCAATGCGAGTTAAGCGCACGTTAGAGCACAGAGCCAGCACTGTTGAAATTACTCGGCCTGGGATCGAATCTCAGTTTACTGCCTAAGATAAATTCAGGTCGCCGTTATTAGCGAGCCTATGGACAGAGACGGTCACTGCATCGCGTGCTTTCGGATGCGCTTCTGCGGCCATTTGGTATGCTCTTCCTTCCGATATTTAGGAAGCCACTGGAGCTATGCAGCTTTAAATCTACATTGAAAACTCATTACCTTTAGAAGTGCTTTTGTATTTAGTTTGTTGCCCTTCCCTCCCACACCTCCGATGAGCACGGTTGGCTACGTACGGTGCGAAAGAAGTTCACCATACACACGCGCATCCATGTATAGTTCTTCCTACTGAGCCACATGCTCCACCACGGGCACCGCCCGTTTGGGTGGCTTAATCACGCTGCGTCTTGCGTCCACATCCCTCCGCTCCCCCCAGTCACACACGCCGGGGCTAACCTGAATCTGTGTGGCTGCGTTCTTCAGCTGCCCCAAGAAATCCTTGGCCTCCTTGGCTCGGTCCGATAGGCCAGTGAGAGCCTGGGAGAGCTGGCCCTGCACCCACGTGGAGGCACACATGTGAACACCACGTGTCGTGATCCCAACAAAGCACAGAAACAATCACAAACACGGCCAACATCAGTTTCAATTTATACAGCGTCTAAATGCAATCACATTTCAAATGAAGGTCAACACTACATTGCTCGGCTAAATCTGTCTTGTTTGTTCTGTTTTTATTTGTTCCGTATGCCGTGTATTGTCTGTATCGTTTGTATCGTTTGTATCATCTGCCTCGTGTGAATGCTTGTCTCACTTGTTCGGTCTCATTTGTAGCGTTACGTTTGAGTTGTTCACATAGGGACACAAGGCCTCTCACGTTTATGCAGAAGGGTATAGGTGAAACTACTGTACATGTTTTGTTCACGTTCTATCTGGTGCAGAATTTAATTCCATCAGCTGTCCTGTGATTTGCAGGTGGCTACGTGAATTTGGGAGCTAATTCCCACATCACAGCGCTGAGCTGGCACAATTGAAAACCACACCACATGATTAACCAAATTATCAAGTGTAGCAAGTTCATGGTCTCGGCTTGCTCACTGTTTGATTGCAACACAAACATCTTTCGCAAGACAGGTGAGTGCACCTTGTAGTTTGGACACGAGGTTCGTTTTCAAAAAGACGCAATTCGTGAGCTGCTTCCCACTAGCCCGTGTGGCCCTCAGTGACGGACTCACGACCTGCAGCATCGATCGACCTGAATCCGCCGTTTGTTATTCACCAGCAGCCGGTCCGGCACTGGGGACCGACCGCGTTCCTTTCCGCATTCGCTAGAACGGTGAAGTGGATCAGACCAGAGCATGTTTGGGGGGTGAAGCAGCAACGGTGGTGGAGGACTGAACGTGGCAGTACATCCAGTGCTCTTCACGGGCGCTTGAAGTCGTATTTTCCAGAAACAAGGAAACACGTTTCCCAGAAGACCTTGGGTCTGCTTTGAGAAACATTTTCAAGGAGCAAGTTGCCTCAGGCCAATCGGAAGAGACTGTGTGCGGAGCATGAGCCATCGATCATGTGACTATGAGCCTTCGATCATGTGACTATGCACTTGCTTCAGGCGCAGTTTTCCAGGTTGGGCTGCGCATTGATCGTTTCTTCTCTAAAGCTTTTGCCGTGCACTGCTAAGGGCATCTTGAATTCAACTCCGATGTGATGGGGGTGAAGGAACACATTCTAAACGTGCAGCCTAACCTGAAAACCCACAGTTGGAATACGAGTGACTGCAAAAAAACCTACTCCTGTTAAATATATGCACGTGCTGCTTGTAAAAGTTTCCCGGCAATGCGTGATGACAATGCTTGAAGAAACGTGTTTCTGCCAGAATGTTTCCCCATCTACGCGCGGCTTGGCACCACGTACACTCCACCCAATGTCTGGTGGAAAAACGCAACAAAAATTTACTCCCAACTGGGCCCAGGCATAAAAGGGGGCAGCAGTGGCGTAATCACATGATCCAGTCCGAGATGGGGATCCATCCCTCATGAGCAGATCTGTCCCATATTACCCTGATACAAATGCACTCGTACAAATATAAATACAAAGATCCCCCGTATTGCCTACATACTGCTGGGGCAAGTATTGTTAGCGAGCGCAAGGGGACGGTGTGGCTAGTGCTGATGTTTACACACCACGCCAAGTACTCGTTTCAGGGTGAGTCGAGTGAGGAAGGTCCAGGAGCAGGTTAGACATCACAGGCCAATGGCCGGAAATCAAACCTAGGCGAATGGGCTCGTAGCGTAGCACGCTAACCACGACACCACCATTCCACCCCGATAAGTAAACAAAGACACAACTAAAAGCGAAGATTAATTTCGAAGACCACAACAAGGGCGGCACACAATACAGCAAATGAGGTGCTGCCAAGGTGCCTACACAATGCGACAGTCACACAATGTACATGGTTCAAGACAACACAACCCGGCGGTGCACCATGCAAGGTCCATGTGACATCAGCTGGCTTGAATATGGAACTCGAGGCATCAAACATTTCCTGCGCAATTGCATCACCATAACTCTCCAGGGGATCTTTGTTGAAGTGTCGAGGGGGGGGGGGGTGCTTTCCTGGCCCACAGAGAATCTTAACAATAAAACCATCACTTTCTTTTTGCCTGGTGCAGTTAGCTTCCAGGCATATGGGACAACAACATTGGACCAAAAAAATTTGCTTTGCGGCCAAGAAATAGCTCAGCCGAGTATCAAATGAACACGTCAGACCGAGCATTTAAGTGAGTACATTGGCATATAACTATGCCCCTCTAAAGATCATATGCCTCATTATCTTGGTTATGAGTGCCACATCTGTTAATATGAACATCAGTGCACAAATGGAAATGTAACCGAGGATTAAGCCATTGAAGCAAAGGTTTAGGGGTTTTGGTTCAGGACCAGTGTTCATTTGCATGCATGTGACACTGTCACTTAGGGTGTGCAATCCAATCAGTGTAAATAAAATCCAAGGTGTCTCCCTAAACAAATGAGCATTGGACAACACTCATCTGCATTACCAGCCGTTGAGCCAGTGGTGGAAATTCCACATTCACATTATTAGGTACAGTCTCTGCACAGGATGACCTCTGCGACTTCCCGTCCAGTTGTGGATCTAAGGGGGGAGGGTTGGGGAGGGGCGCATGAGGGTGCTTGCACCCCTGCCACTTGAGGCCCTGAAATTTGTAGTGCATTGATATTTACGCTTTGAATGTTTTTATTTTATGAATGAAAGGCCCAGTTAATGAAAGGCCATATTTAAAAAAAGGCTTGACATTTTTGGACCGCCCTCCCCCCATTCCCCTTTGCGATCCACCTCTGCTTCCCATAAAGGGTATTCATTGTACTAGATAATGACAATGAGCTTCGTCGATCCACAAATATGATTTTTAACCTGTGACCTGATCGTGAGATGGGTGTTATGCCACGTCTCTAACCAGCCAAACAGATCAGTGTAAATGAAGGAAAATGTTGACTATAGATGTTTTATACAACCAGACGCACAGACCTATGGCTCGTATAAAAAAAGATACATTTAATAAATACAATTGGGTTACAGTTTGGGCTGGAGCTCCGGTTAGGGCTAGGTCTGAGTCGTTTCGTTATTAATGCTCGCATCATTGCAGTGCGCCTTATCTTCGCGTTACTGTGTGTATCACGTTTTGCATCACTGCGGCCTCATCTTTGGCATGAAGGAGTGCTGGGCTGGAGGGACAGGGGACGATGGGGGTGGGATTAACAAAAAAAAAACTGTTGGGAGGAGGGAGGGAGAGAGGAAGGTGGGGGAGGGAGGGTTGAAGGAGGCTAGAATACGGGGTGTGGCTACGTCTCATCCCATTCTTTCGCTCCTCCATCCCTGGCTCAGTTGCCCCGGAAACCGTTGCCATGGAGGTCATTTATTGCTCTACCGAGGGTTACCATTGCTCCGTGTTACCGCGGCGCGTGCTGCTGCCGAGGCCATTTTCAGGCGACCGGATGCAGGTAAAAGGATCGCTGCTTTCATCAGCCAAAAACCACCACCGACACACGCAATCTTTTCTCCCTCATAATCGCCCTCGTGCTCAGCCTACGATGCGACAATCACGCCAAAAGTGTCTGCCTGCCCAAAATGGCAAGGGGCAGTGCTCACCTCCATTGGTAGCCCTGAGCCAATGGTGGAAATTTTCACATGCCTACGACAGAGATGAGTCAGTCTCTTTATAGGACAAGCACTACGGACTTCCTGCCAAGCGACATTCATTTTGATCAGCTCCTAGCCGAGTCGACAAATCGGATCCGTGTGTGAACTCATGACCATCCGGTTGTGCGTCAAGCCCTTTCCCAGAGTGACACGGGACCAAATCCCTCTGCGCGTGGTGGTGTGCAGGGCAGGGATAGGTGGAGAGGGGTGTCTGGAAAGTGCTCCCCTGGCATGCGTGACGTTTCGACTCTCCCCTTTATTGAAAATCCACCAACCATGTACATTAATTGATTTTCAGATGGGGCCCTAAGCCAGGGGAGGTCTTTATGTAGAGAGGGCCCACAGTAGGAAATCATGCCCCCCCCCTTCCCCAAGCCACATTTTCACTATTTTCACCACTTCAGCACGCACTAAAATTGTATCGTCCGCAATCAAAAGCCCATGCCCAATTTTATAATTGATTACATAATTGTACGTGAGAGTTTTAATTTAATTGAGTCCCTTGAGCAAGCTGAAAGATCTGTTAAAATGCCACTGGATACCAAATTACGCACAGCAATAAAGTCAATGAATGCCTCTCTGCTCATACAAGCAATGGAATGGCACTCATCAAGGCTGCCACAGCACCGAGAGGCATTTCCTCAAAAGGCCAGACCTTACCGAAGATAATTAATTCGCTCCAAACCATACCAAAAGACACTCGTAAACATTGATATGAGAATCCCAAAAGTCAATGCATTTAATTTCTTATTTTTTCCTTTCCAGCAATAAAACCTATTCTAATTATGTATGCAGCATGTCATTGCCTGCCATAATGATTAACAAAACCGAAGAAATACACAAAGTCGGCCAATACAGAAGTGCAGCTTTCTGGATCATTCACGCTCTACCCTCTGCCCCTTGCACCCTATTGCGATGCACAAAATAAGAATGTTAAGATAATAATGAAATAACAACACCATTATGGGGATTACTTGGCACAAGCAAGCCGAAACATAACCCCACAAGCAGCTTACATCAAATCCTTTATTTACACCGGACAGATCCAATAATATGTTACGTCTATCCTTTTTTTTCAGGGTACGTGAAACGCTGCAACCACAGCAATTAAGGAAAATGACTCAATTGTGTTTTTCGCACGAGCAATGTGGCGTGAAATTGTGTGCGTTAACACTCAGAATCGGAGATTTAATTGACCGGGCGTGAACGGCACTGCGGTTAGAGTGATCAACTCAGTCCTTCTCAAAGTTCAAATCCTGGTCAAGGGTCGACTCATCCACGAAAGTCAATTCAACATTAAAAGCATTTTGTGGAAAGTCAACAACAGAGGTTGTCCCAGGGGTGACCTCGCCCTAACAGCACGAATGTGGAATTTCCACCTCTTTCTCAGGGAAACCAACTGATATGAGCGACGCCTCATTGCTCATTCGAGCACAGAGACGCTTACTGCATTTGCACAGCCATCAGAAACCAGCCAGAGCCGCGGCGCGACCACTCTGGGTCAAGCCCTGCACAGCTCTTTCTTATCCCATTGCTTTGGCTCAAGGGTTCAGCTCCCCACCCCCCCCCCCCCCCCCCCCCCCCCGCTTAACTCATCTCACACCCCCCTCTCCCTTCTTTAAGAAAAAAGCTTAACGCATGATTGGGTTTCCTTACTCCCCACGCAACGCCAATATCTACACTTACGTAATCTTTTTTGCCGAACCCAAAAAAAATCACGCACAAACCCTGCAGTTGACCTCAGCCAGAGACGCCATCGAAGGCGTCCGTCTCTCACGTTGACCTGTGATGTCACAACTCGTTCCGAGGACGGTTCTGGTTAAAAGCGCAAAGCTCCACTTGGAAAAGCAAGCCATGCGGCCCAGCAAAAGTGAGCCAACCGGGCCTGGTTACACCCCAATTGGCAAAGCAAGGCTGCCGTGGGTATCCGAGCCAAGCTCACTGGCACAGTTCACTAAACCAGACGAGCCCCATTTGAATTTGTCGCGGGAACGTGGCAACTATGGGTTATTTTCACATTATTGTCCGACTTTCGAAAAAGATGTGCAGATGTCTCCTTTCCTAACCATGACACCATAAACCCACTGCATCAGAGAACCCGTTACACCTCATCATGTGTGACTGCCATGGTTCATTGCCCTGAACCTTAAGACTTGCCACCTCATTGCTCGGACCACTGAGCCATCCATTCAGCGACAGTCCCTGACAATTCATGTGACGGACCATCTTCCCAAACAAAACATACCCTGGCTCGTTCCCCTGCAACTCAGTATTTTCTCTCTCTCTATAACTCGCAATTAACATATGCATTTAGTTTGTTTCAGCGTGAGGCAATGCTGGCCCCCGCGGATCTTTCCAATCATAATTTACTCCACCAGCCCCCAGCACACAATCACGCTCTCCAAATTAAAAGCCTTTAATCTAAGTAGGTGCCTCAGGAGGGTCATAATAATGGCTCTGCCATAGCATCAAACCGGCATTTCTGAGATCGTGGATTCAAACACAGGTGACCACCAGGGATTAAATAAGATTTTCACGTGTACTCTGTTTAATGGTCTCAGCCTGGTCATGAATGTGAACCAAAACTCTCATCACATAAATTAGGCTTTTCACCTTCATTTGACCTCACCTTGATCTCAGGAGTACAATGTAAACTGTGAGCATTCCAGACTGGAGTTGGGAGATTCGAGTTGGGTCGGAGAATTTTGTTGCAGTAACGCCATAAGTAGTTCTGTCATGCCACCTTCTATGGCACACGTGACCCAGGCACACGTGACCGGAGGAGTTCTGTAACGATATCTATTTGCCTCAGGACTCCATAAAAGTAAAAGCCCAAAGTCAAAATTGCCTGCTGCATATATGAGCAATGGGGGCCAGTGATTATATTGGTTGGTGGCCATTAGCCAGGAGTAGAAATTCCACATTGCCATGGTGGGGGCCAATCTTTCCATCATATGCGTTCCGTTTCTTTCTCACAAAGTGGCACCAATAGCAAGTGGTGTGTGTGTGTCTATATATAGCAAATGGTGTGTTATGTCTATATATAGCAAGTGGTGTGTGTGTCTATATATAGCAAGTGCTGTGTGTGTGTCTATATATAGCAAGTGGTGTTTGTGTCTATATATAGCAAGTGGCGTGTGTGTGGGTCTATATATAACAAGTGGTGTGTGTGTGTCTATATATAACAAGTGGTGTGTGTGTCTATAGCAAGTGGTGTGTGTGTGTCTATATATAGCAAGTGGTGTGTGTGTGTATGTCTATATATAGCAAGTGGTGTGTGTGTGTCTATATATAACAAGTGGTGTGTGTGTCTATATATAGCAAGTGGTGTGTGTGTCTATATATAGCAAGTGGTGTGTGTGTCTATATATAGCAAGTGGTGTGTGTGTCTATATATAGCAAGTGGTGTGTGTGTCTATATATAGCAAGTGGTGTGTGTGTCTATATATAGCAAGTAGGTGTGTGTGTGTGTCTATATATAGCAAGTGGTGTGTGTGTCTATATATAGCAAGTGGTGTGTGTGTGTATCTATATATAGCAAGTGGTGTGTGTGTGTGTGTCAATATATAGCAAGTGGTGTGTGTGTGTCTATATATAGCAAGTGGTGTGTGTGTCTATATATAGCAAGTGGTGTGTGTGTGTCTATATATAGCAAGTGGTGTGTGTGTGTGTCTATACATAGCAAGTGGTGTGTGTGTCTATATATAGCAAGTGATGTGTGTGTGTCTATATATAGCAAGTGATGTGTGTGTCTATATATAGCAAGTGGTGTGTGTCTATATATAGCAAGTGGTGTGTGTGTGTCTTTATATAGCAAGTGGTGTGTGTGTGTCTATATATAGCAAGTGGTGTGTCTGTGTGTGTCTATATATAACAAGTGGTGTGTGTGTGTGTCTATATATAACAAGTGGTGTGTGTGTCTATATGTAGTGGGGAGCGGCGGCACACCAGTTAGTGCAATGCACTACGAACCCGGCTACTCGAGTTCGATTCCCACTCACGTTGAACACCAGTGATGATTATCTGAACCCTTCCTGAACCTCCCCTAGGTCAACTTAGCCTTGAATGTGTACCCTGGTGCTGTGTGCAAACATCGCCACTGGTGAGACAAAGGCGGCCGGGCGTGGTGTTCGCCACCCACCCCCTCGTGTGTCGTTCCGGCCTTCATAGGTGCTCGCTAACAGCACTTGCCCTAACAATCTGTTAAGGCTGTAAGGGTAATCTTTGCCTTTGTGTATATTATGAACACTACTATACACTCTAGTACAGCCTTTGTAAAGACCGTTTCTCAACATAACATTTAATCACTCAACCAATTCTAAACGCTGCTTGCCTTGGGGCAACTGCCTATTTAGTTGCTTAATTGGGAACTGGGGGTCAAGGGGCACGACTGGAGACCGATGCCTGGAATCATAATGGACATGAGGCTGTGCTTCCGTGTGGCTGATTTGCACACAGCTGCAGTTGAACAGTTAATTTCTAAATAGCACGCGTTTCAAAATTCTCCATCCGCTTTGTGGTGTTCGGCCAATACTTTATTGAGGAGTGTTTTTTTCTGTGTGGAAACAAAACTGCAGATCCTGGAGAAAAACCGAGCATGCGAGCCAACGGCGCTCAAAAGTCCATGCACGAGGGTCGTGGGCCTACTTGCTGTGCTGCAGTCTCCTGGCCACCCGAATATGATCCTCACTGCACCTGCTAAAATGTACGTTCTTCTCCAACCCGACTGCCGAAGCAACGTGCTGTCCTTACTGAAGCACAAGATTGGTTCCAGTCGTCTGTGCTGATATTGCGCCCAGCACTGGCCACTCGTGGCTCACCCGCGGAAGCGACTGACATGCCATTGTGGCAATAGTCAACATTCGAATTCTGGCGTTTTCAGGATTTTCTCTCTTTTCGTTTTCACGCAACGCACGGACGAGGAAGTGGTCACGCAAAACCGGCGAGGGAGCAGACGAATGGATCGGCATGCGACAAGCGGAGGTTTCATCAGCGCAGGTTCTCCACTGAAGGGGCCTTTAATTGAAAAGCAAAACAGATGCTCGAGAAAAAAACATTCCTCGTGAGACCGCAGTGAGGCTACACTGCCATACTGTACATCGCCACAAGATTGCAATTTATCAATTAGCACCCTTGCAAGCCGCTTGTGCAGGTGCTAGATTGTTCGTTTGTGTCGCAAGACCGTGAGACACGGCCAAGGCATGGGAACGGATCTCATCTGGCAGTGGATGAAGCAAAGCCAATGGCGATGAGGATGTTCATGCTGGGTCCAGCAGTAAAAGCCAAGGGCGAGCTTTGTCCATTCTCACAGCCAGGAGCTGTCACATTCAAAACCGATGCCTCTCTCTGCCACCATACGGGTGAGATCACCTAAGAAAAAAAAGAAAGCTATCACCAGTACCAGTGATATTGATATTTCAATAAAGTTAGCTGCTGCAGTGTGTGAATATCACCGCCTTGGGAGGCAAAGGTGGCCGCGCGTGGTTTCGACCATTGCCGGCTCCAATAGGTGCTCGCGAACAGCACTTTCACGACAGCCTCATGGTCGACATCATTCCACGCGACCCGCGGCCACGCGAGGTCGGCCACTTTCGAAGCGGCCCTTTCACGAGCGCTTTTGAGCCGAGCATTGGAGCCGCACTCACCGGGTACCAGAGGGCAATATTATCGCGCCGGAAACATTGTATTTCTCATTTTAGCCCCACGCTGTCGGTCCTTTTTATTTTTCCCGTCATTATTGAACAGGACTAACGTGCTTGACGATACGTGGCCCGCGAAAGAAAAGCAAACGTCCGGTTCAGCTCTCGGTAAGGCTAAAGGGAGGAGCATCTTCATGCACGTGTGTGTCATCGCGCGTGCGCGTGTGCATTCACGTGTACGTGAGCGCGTGCGTTTGTTGTGTGCGTGCGTGCGTTCGTGCAAACTCGCCCTGCTCCTCCTCCTCCTCCTCCTCACCTTGTGCAGCTTGCACATGGCCCCGAGGGCGCGCACCTCGTGGCGCGCGTGCTTGCCCTCCTCCAGGCACTGGTAGCACACGGGCGCCCGGCACGGCACGCAGTACATGGAGTGGCTCTCCAGCTCGTGCTCCGCGCACGTGGCCGGGCGCCGCGCGGCCGGCGGCCCCAGCGCTCCCAGCCCCAGCAGCCCGGCGCCGACCGCGGCCCGGGCGGCCGCCCCCAGCAGGGGCTGCTGAACCCCGACCGCCTGGGGCTCGGCTTGCGCGGTGGACGACGCCGCCGCCGCCGCCGCCGCCGGCGACGACGACGACGACGCGGGCGAAGCCGACGCATCGTTCGCAGCCGGTACCGCCGCCGCCGCCGCCGCCGCCGATGTCGATGACGCCGACGCGCGCGCCTGCAGCACCAGCGCCGGCGGCAGCAGCCGGTGCTTGGCCAGGGGCCCCCGGGCCGGGTGGCAGCGGCTGCGGCACGCGTCGCAGTAGAGCACGTCGCACTGCTCGCAGAGGACGCTGGCGGGCCGCGCGGGGCTGCGCTCGCACAGCTGGCACTGCAGGGCGCGCGCCCGGCCGCGCTGCGCGACGCGGTCGCACACCGCTTCCAGCACGCGGTTGCGGGGCAGGGCCCGCAGCCCACGCTCGTCCAGCAGCAGGCTGCGGTGGCACTGCGGGCACGTCAGGCACGAGTTGCGGTGCCGCTGCTGGACCGCGGCCGCCTGCTGCTGCTGCTGCTGCTGTTGTTGTTGCAGCAACTGCTGCTGCTGCTGCTTCTGTTGGAGGATGTGGTGCTGCTGCAGCAGCTGTGCGTGCATGAGCGCGTGCTGCGGGTGCAGCTGGCTGTGGTGCTGGTAGGAGGGCAGGGGGGGCCGCGGCGCCGCGCTCGGCACGGGGGTCGGCGGGAACACGCGCACCCCGTTCGGGGACAGCTTCGGCAGGACGGCCACCCCCGACGACAGCGAGGAGGAGGAGGACGCGGAGGAGGAGGAGGACGACGCTGCGGAGGAGGAGGAGGAGGAGGAGGAGGAGGGCGTGGTGGCCATCGGCGCGTTCGGCGTGCCGGGGCTGGTCAGGTAGCCCCCGAACGAGCCGTAGCCGCTGTCCGCCTCGCTGTGGAGACTCATCTTGTCCAGCTCCAGGTAGTCGTAGTCCGAGCCCGAGGGGGATACGCGAGGAGCCACCGCACCGTTTGCCACCGCGTGCTGGAGTTGCGACGCACTGCCCGTGCCTGCCGCTGCCGCTGCCGCCGCTGCCGCCGGTGGTGGTGGTGGTGGTTGTTGAGATGTTCCTGACACCGCTGCTACCGGCTGCTGCTGCTGCTGGTGCTGTGCTGGTAGTTCCCCATCGGGCGTCTGCACGAGGATGTTGCGAGCGCATGCCAGGCACAGGTTGTGCGAGCAGGGCAGCAGCACGGGGTCCCGGTACATGGCCCCGCACACCGGACACTTGAGCTCATCCTCCATGTCTTCCATGGGAGATGAGGAGCGGGGGCCGCGACGGGCGGGGGTGGGGCTCAGCGTGCTGGCGGAGGGGACGGGGGATGAGCGACCGGAAACATTCACATCATTCGCGATCGATCAAGAGGGGCGCCGCAGTGGCGAGATGTTCAATACCTTGCCTGCAGGAGTTCGTGAGTTCGATTCCGACGCCTGACGCCTGCTGTATATTTGGAGTTTGCGTGTCTCTCTCTCCCCGTGTCAGCGTGGATTCTTCTCCGGGTCTTCCGGTTTTCCCCTCGACGTTTAGAAGCACGCTTTTAGACCCTTTGGCTGCGATGAATGCCCACGCGATAAGCCACGTTCGTTTGAGCTCACCACGTGGCCGGGTCCCTTTTGTACAAGAGCTGCCTGGGTGGCTGGCACGCGGTGACGTCACTGCGGCCACATCTGCGTGACGTCGTGACCCGGATTTATCGTTAAGCCAGGCCCGTGCGTGCTGGCCTCACCACCCCATCCTCTCAGCCCAGTTAAAAAGGTAAAGGTTAAAGGAGCCCAGGAATTGCTTCAGAATCAGAATCTGTTCTTTTTGTTTGAGACCGGAGGAATCCGATGAGCTATGAAGCTCTTTTTTTCACAGAAGTCAAGTAGGGGGGGGGGGTCAGAAGGTCACAGTGAACAAACGATGCACAAAACACGACGACACCGCGAGACTGCTTGACAACGATGCTGCTGACGGATGGGCCTCCCACCAGAGGGAGCCCTAGAGGGTGTCTGTTGTCTCGCCGTCCACGGATGACCAGACGTCGTGAACGGCGTGGATGCGTCCACACTTTTACCCCCCACCCCTCCAACTCGGGGGACAAGGGCTAGGGGGAATGGAACCGGCGTGGATCTGGATTGCAGGTCCGGTTTAAAAAGTGCAAACCATTAGACCAAGGACGCTATACGATACACCGCTATACATGTGTACAGTATGTCCATAAGCACAGTTCGCACATCACGTTCATAACTGGCATTTCTTTTACATTATTAACACCGCTTTATATAACAGGCGTGGAGATGTGGTGCGGTGGTTGGTGCGTGAAGCTTGCCAACCGCGTGGTTCTCAGTTCGATTCCAGGACACGGTGAACATCCGTGGTGAGTGATATCTGAAATGGCTGGGCCCGTTCAGATATCAATCCTCCACCATTGACCAACCAGACCGGTGAAGAATGAGTAAGCAGACCATTACAGAGAATATCTCATTCACATATATCTTCCGATCAACCACACCGCCTTGTGGGTAAATTTAAGCGACGCCGGTTCGACTTAAGGGCCGTCCATAAATGACGTCACGCGATTTTGGACGCTTTTTGACCCCCCCCCTCGTCACACGTCAAAAAGCTCTGCACCCCCAAAATAAAACATGCTTGAAATCGCTTTAAACTATTGTCATTGTAGTGCGTATTTAATGTGCCGCTGCACTCTGATGTTGCATGAGAAAACATTTATGAAAGAGTCTATTTAATTAAGTAGAACGTGTTATCTATATTTATTTAAAGTTGCGCATTTTGATGTGACGTCACATTTCTCAAACCCACCCCCCCTTCGTCACACATCGTCACAAATGTCTGACCCCCCCCCCCTCCCAGGTGCGTGACGTCATTTATGGACGGCCCCTTAAGCAAACTCTGGACCGGTTCTGACGTGTGGAGGGACAGATATATGAAGGAAATATATTCTCTGTTTATTCATTTTATTCCATATATTCTCGACAACGACGCGATCGATTCGATTTAAGTATTGTCTAAACAGCCACTAATGGCCGATATGGGGTGAAACGGATCAGCATCCAGAATGGGATGTAAATACTGGAATATGTATTTATACAATATAAATATAACATGCAGTATTCGTGTATATGCTTCAGGTGATGACACTTAATCCGTGCAGGGAACAAGGGGAGGTAGCAAAAAGGCAGCAGTTGCCTTCGAGTTCGCAGTTCACGATTTCACAACGTGGTGCCTCGAAACGTCCCACGGGATTGGGAGAGACTTGATGTAATAAAAGGGTTTCAATTGTCAAATAGCTCGTGGCAAACAAAAACATTTTCAATCGCAGCAACAACAGAAAACAAATAGCACATTCTAAGGAATGTATATACAAACATGAATTTGTGTGGGCAAAAAAATAAGCTGTGGAATGTAACTGGCTAACTCTTGCGGCTAAAGCCTACATGCGTTGCCATTTAAATAATCCAATTTTGCGTTTGAGCTCTCCTCTCAAGAAGCGCCATTGCACAAACACACGAGCGTATATTTTGTGTTGGCGAATCGTTCCTTTATTTAAATCTTGACTTAAAGCTTTCGTGACTGCAGGAATTCATATTCTTTGGGTCTTTCGGTAAAGTCACATAGATAGGTTCAAAGAAAGAAATATATATCACGACGTTTCGATCGCAACACAAGCGATCCTGATGATCGAAAATAATCCTGATGACGATCCTTTGTATTGCGATCGAAACGTCGTAGTTTTTTGTTATTTTCCATGAACCCATCTACGTGACTTTACCGAAAGACCCAAAGAATATGAATTCCTTCATTTTCCATCCGAATCCTTTTTTCGGCCGAAACTTTGCCGGTGTCTTCACGAGTTATACTATCGCCAAAGAGACCCATCAGCGAGGCAATGTGTTCGTGCGTTTTGTCGAAGTTGTCACCCTGGCCCGATACTATATTTCACGTGCGAATGCGTATGCATGTGGATGTATGGGTGGGGAGTGGCAGACCGCAGTTGGTGAGCGCGTTGCTTCACGAACGCTGGTTGCACTGCGGACGGTTTGGGGCGATAACCAAGATAGGTGGCAACCCGATTCGTAACACTTTGACAACCGGGTGCCCAGGACTCCCACGGTCACTTATCCATCTCTGCGTTGTCTAGGTGTGTGCGTGCTGTTGGGAGCGGTGGTGCAGCGGTTAGCGCGCTCCGCTACGAACCCAGCGACCCGAGTTCGATTCCAGCTCACGGCCAACACACCGGTGACGATTATATCTGAACTCTTCCTGCTGTGGCTCCCCTTGGTCAACTCAGCCTCAAACGAGTACCTGGTGTGGTGTATAAGCATCACCACTCGGGAGACAAAGGCGGCCAGGCGTGGTGCTGGCCTTCATAGTCGCTCGCTAACAGCACTCGCCCCAAAATAATGTTACGGCTATGCGGGGGACATTTGTCTTTGTATGCGTGCGGTCACATCCACTGTGATGGAATTACAATTAGCCTACAATACACACACACAGACCGTGGAGATTGTATTTTTGCCCAATCACGCCAGCATGCTGAGTAAGCCAATTTGTACAGGTGAATGCTTTATGTTAACATGTTGATGGACGAGGGACCTACTCACGCCGTACGGGTCGTGGTGAGCGGGCTATTTCATCATACTTCACCACGCTGGTCAGTGCAAGGAAGCATAGATACGTGGGGGGGGGGGGGGGGGGGGGCTTTGATGTACAGTACAACAAAGTGTTTTTTTTTATAATGCGGCACTACGATCTGCTGCCCACAACGTTAGCCCGCAGCCTATAACACCTTGTTACGCACGGTTGTCGACGTCCAAACACTAAACCCAGTTTCAAATCCCCGCTTCGCTTCCGAGATCTCACGCGCTACGGGTGATTTTTTTTTTTGCCACCGGCCAGATTCAACGTCCTGCGGGCGTCATTCCATCACCATACCATTTACATCATGAGCCGACACACACGACGCCTGATTACAACGTGGCTTAGGACGCGTGCGCCGGATTTCATCGTGCTGGGGGAGGGGGCTGTAACGTTCAGCTCACAATCGAAAGGTTGCGAGTTGACCGCCCCCCCCCCTCCCGGTCCGAGGAAAATGCAGCCAATCCTCCAGCGGTGGAGCTTAGCGGGGGTTCACAAAATGAGTACCACTCTGTGGAAAATCACAGAGAAATGGTAGCAACGTGGCACCTACAGCATTCGTAACTCAGGGCAGCGCACGCAAAACACTCGCTCTCCTTGAAGCAGAGCTACAATGTGTGTGTGTGTGTACAGTATATACGTGCGGATGTCTCAGAAACTGACCTTGTCTGCTAACGGGGATGTGTGGTGAATGATGATGCTGCTGCCGCTTGTGATCGCCGCCGCTGCTGCTGCTGCTGCCTGCCCGCGCAGTCCAATGCAGGTCGATGCTCGTTCCAGTTGCTGCCCGTGCGAGGGCTTCCTAACAGCTCTCCTCCTCTTCCTCGCCCTCTTCCTCCTGCTGCTGCTGCTCCTCCTGCTGCTGCTGCTCCTCCTGCTGCTGCTGCTCCTCCTGCCACACCTGCTCCGCTGCTGCGGATTGCGCCGAGCGCACGACCGACATTCGCGGGCCAATAGCGAGGCGAGGCGCAGGATGGCGTTCTGCCGCCGAATGATGATGATCGGGACGGTGAAGACGACGATGCTTTAGCGGCGGTGGTGATGGCGCTGGGAGCGGCTGGCAGGGAGGGGAGTGCACGAGACGGCGAGAGGGAGAGATGCGCGGCTGTGTAGGATGCGAGGGAGAGGGGTTGAAACGTGCGCCGGAGTGCGGGGCGCAGAGCGATGAGATTCAAGGCAGAGAGGAGGGCGCAACCAATGGGGGGGGGGGGGGGGGTCACGGAGCTAGCCGGGGGATTGGGGAGGTGTGTGTGTGTGACAGAGTGAATATGCGCGTGTGTGTGAGATTGTGGCGAGCGGTGGCGCAGTGGTTAGCGCGCTGCGCTACGAAGCCGGGTTCGAATCCCATTCATGGACAAACACCAGCGACGAGTATCTGAATCTGTCCCGGGCCTCCCCTAGGTCGATACAGCCTCAAATGAGTGCATACCTGGTGCGGTGTGTAAACATCGCCACTGGGGAGACAAAGGGGGCCGGACGTGGTGCTGGCCACCCACCGCCTCGGTTGCCGTTCCTGCCTTAATAGGTGCTCGCTAACAGCACTTGCCCTAAAAAAGGCTACACCGGGGGATCTTTGTCTTACTCGTGGACAAAATCACTGACGAATATCTGAATCGGTCCTGGGCTTCCCCTAGGTCGAGCCGGCCTTAAATGAGTGCCTGGTTCGGTGTGCAATGATCAACACAAAGGAGACAAGGGCGGCCGGGCGTGGTGCTGGCCACCCATCTCCTCGTGTGTGGTATCGTAGGTCCTCGCGAACAGCACTTGCCCCGACAGGCTGTGAAGGCTATACCGGTGGTCTTTGAATCTCTCTGTGTGTGAGTGTTGGCTCTGCGTGCTGGTGGGGGGTGTGAGCGAGGGGAGGGGTGTGGGAGGGGGGTGTCGCCCCCTCAGGGGATGTCGAGGGAGAATTTTAATAAAGGAGAGAGAGAAGAGAGGGTGGGAGAGAGAGGGGAGAAGAGAGGTGGGGGGGGAAGCGCGCATAGAGAATCGGAGCGTGCGCGCACAATGCGAAGAGCGAGTTGCCCATGTGGGTGAGGGTGTGGGTGGGTGAGGGTATGGCTGGGTGAGTAAGGGTGTGGGTGGGTGAGGATGTGGGTGAGGGCGTGGGTGGTTGAGGGTGGCGTAAAGGTTACCACACTGCGCTACGAACCGGGCGACCCAAGTTCGATATCCCGCTCACGGCCAGCACCAGTGACGATTATCTGAATCGGTCCGGGGCATCTCCTAGGTGCATTGTGTAAACATCGCCACTACGGAGACGAAGACGGCTTGGGGCTGGCCACCAACCGCAACAGTCTGTTTAGGCTTACGGGGGATCCTTGCCTTTGTAGGTGAGGATGTCGGTGGGTGTGGATGGGTAGTGGTTGCGGGTGAGTGGGCGGCTGCGTGGGTGAGGATATAGGTGAAGTTGTGTGGATGAGAGTTTGGGTGAATGAATAGATGTGTGTGTGGGCGATGGTTTGGGTGAGCGCGCGGGTGAGCCTACGGGCGAGTGGGGGAGCGTTGAGAGCGATGGGCATTGTGGTTCGCGCGGACCACCCGAGGTTGAGTCCCAGTCACGGCTAACATCGCTGTGATATCTGAACTGACCTTGGGCCTTTGTATGGGGAGGGGGTCTTTGTTGAATTGTCGATGAGAATATGCAGGACTGAATTTCAGCCGGAGCTGCTCGGGAATGAGATCCGGAAAATATGAGGGTTTGGGGGGCGGGGGGGGGGGGTCTGGCTTAATTTCTTAGGAAATATTGAAAATGTTTCCTGACGAATTAAGCGATGAGACCGCGAGAGTGAGTTGATGTGAGTGATGCTTTGTGGGTAACGTCAAGGTGAGGATGCGTCTGCAGCGAAGGCAACGCTTGGGAGAGTGAGCTGAACAGCAGTCCCATCCACTTGTACTCGGAAGGGGCCATCCTTGGTAAGTCCACACAGCACGGGCTACATCGGATCGAACGAGAATTTTAAGGCTGCTGAGATAGCAAAAGCGGGAAGGTACAAGGTGCACAAGAGATAAGAAGAGACGTCGGAGCACACGGGCATACGCATAGAGGACAGAGATACGAGGAGAAAGATTGAGAGAATTGGAGGCAGACCGAGCGAATTCCAGAGGGCACGGCTCGCGATGTGAGCGTGCCTGCTGTGCCTGTGTGTTTGGGCAGTTATGGCAGTAGATGCTGCTGCTGTAACCTAATTGCCGTGCCCCGAGGTTACACTTTCCACGGAGGAGGGGGAGGAGGAAGGGATGAGAGTGACCCTGTTAAACAGAGATGCAGTTAAGTGTTCTGGGGAGGATTGTGACTTTGGGAGGAGGGAGAAAGACCCCTGGGAAAGTGGGAACCGTACAGCATGGAAACGAAATAAAAACCCTGACAGACGAGCAGATCTGCCACACTCAAACGAGCACCGAACTGGGTTCCGTTAGTGACCCTGAGACAGTGGTGTGAATTCCACATTCCTATGGCCGGGAAATTCCTGTGGACACTGGAGGAATGTCGGGGATCAAAGGGGGGGGGAGGAGTGCATGATGGTAACAATGTGGATTTATGATAGTAGTGCTAGCAGTCATAGCGATGATGATTGTGCTAAGGGTGGGTACCCTGCAGTTCTGGAGCCGCATGCGGCTCGTTTTAAGGACTGCTTCGTGACGTTATTTATTAAGGACCACCGTCTCGTATTCTCATGCGTTGGGGGCCTCTTCTCGTTACCTTGGGTTTGCCGACCCCTGATCTGGGCTCCAGCAAACTGCTGACGAAGCGTCTCCTCGCCTCCAGCGGAGCTCCATCACCCCCTCCCCCACCCCCAAAGCGCGCTGCGCCTTCATGCACAGCCAGCAAGCAAATTAAATACATAGGGCTACGCTCCACCCACCCCCCCCTTGTCCTTCCTATGGCTAGAGGGTGGCGGGTGGTGAGTGATAGGTGAGTGCAAAAAGGATGGGTGAGCATTAGGAGGACGTGATGAGGCGCGTGGGGTGGAATTGAACGATAACCGCATGGTTCTATTAAGTAGAATCATACTGGTAGGCACCTCTGGTTACACCAGCCTATAGGGGATTATTGTGTCCGTCCGTCCGTCGTGCATCCAAAAATGGGAGGGGTGGGGCTGGGTGGAGAGGGGAGGGTGGGGAGGGGCTGGGTGGGGAGGGAGGGGCTGGGTGGGGGGGGTGGGAGGGGTGGGGCTGGGTGGGGAGGGGCTGGTCACCCCGTGGTGCCCTTATAAAACTTAACGTTTCACCTACTCACGCCAGCTTGTGCCCGCCCTCACAGTCGGACATATTTGCGGAATACACCACGCCGCCGTTAACTCACGCCATTGACCGAGCAACCCAACGTTCCTACCAGCTCCCTCCGCAGGAATGTGTTTTGAACATTTGGTCTTCAGGTTTTGCTTATAGCGTAAGGCTCTCACCAGTAGTCCACCGGCAGGAGGTGATGTTATAATGTGATTTCATAAGATTAACTAATTTTCGGGTATTTTATTTCGTTTAAACCAGGGGTGGGGAATCTTTTTTTCTGCCAAGGGCCATTTGGATATTTACAACATCATTCGCGGGCCATACAAAATTATCAACTTAAAAATTAGCCTGTTATATTGGTCAAACATTTCATTAACTCACCCCTCATGTGATGGCTGGAACTGCTTCTCTTCGGTGAGGCGTGTGATGTTAGCTGGTATTGATGATGTTGCTACTCGCAACTGCTTTTCCAGGTTTGCTCCTAGATTTATTGAATTTCGAGTCCCGCCTGCGGTTGCCTTGGCAGGGCCAGACCAAATGATTTCGTGGGCCTTATACGGCCCGCGGGCCGGACGTTACCCACCCCTGCTTTAAACCGTGACGCCGGCAGACATGGCCTACTCTTTTTCAAATCGCATTACGTGATCTTTATCGTTCACTCTCAAGCAGACAGCGCATCTTTTGGCGCCACGGTGGCGAGATCTTACTACCTCGCCTGGTATGCAAGGAGTTTGCGTGTTCTCCACGTGGTCGCATGGATTTTTCCCCGGGTCCTCTGGTTTCTCCCTCCACATTTAGAAACATGCGTTTAAGAGTATTTGGCTGCTATAAATGCCCACATGATGAGGCACTTCGATGAACAGTCATCTGTCGCCAGGTCGCTTATGAAAAAGAGCTATATAGCTCAGTGGGCCTTAACCTGATAAAAATTAATATAGTTCAATAGTTTACCTTTCTGACACTCGCAATGCCGCAAGTAAAGTTGCTGCCCGGAGGTAGACTCGAATGACCCTCAATCTGAGTCTGATCAAATAGACATTGCGCTGTGGCAAGTCAATAAAGTTACTCTCTGGACAACCTGGCCTCTGCTATGGTATTGTAGAATTTCCACCACGAGCTCTGAGCCAAACTCCGAGGGTTTGTCCTTTGTCTAGACACTCCAGTTTCTTCTGGTCACTGTGGACAAGTATGGCCAATGTCTCTCCTTATGGAGGCCCTTCCACCAGCAGTGGAATGAGCAATTCCAGGTCGGCACCTTCACCGTGTTTTTTCACCATCATGCATTCCAATGCCAACGGCCGACATACATTTTGAGACTCCGTGAGGCTTTCCTGGATAAATTACGGTTGTTATTCATCTGCGGAACAGACTTGCGACCACATTGGGCCCTCACCTGATGAAAATGTCACAGGTATACATTCAGTACGTATTTGCATGCATATGACACAAATCTGAACACAACGTGCACATCCATTACTGCGATTCTATTCAACCGGGCAAAAGCCGTTTGAGACGCTGCCTTTTGCAATTGGGATGCACGCCTTATTCGGTATATACTGCAGATAATTTGTGCATTGGATGAGGAACAAAGACGTCTTTCCCACTCTGTTTAATAAACAGGGTACGCGGGTCTGTCGACGGCAGCACTTGACGTGGTTTACAAATAGCCCTGCGCCTGCACCACCACTGCACACCACTCACGGGCGTAGCGGGGTCTCGCGCAAGCCTCCTACTGGCGGCGGTCACGCAGGCCTGGCCTCAAGATTCATTACACAAAGCGGCGCTCGCTCCTGTTTGTCACTCGCGGATGTAGCACAGGAAGGGCACGCATGCAGCCCTGCTGCATGGTCACATGCTGGCACTGTGTGCCTCTGTCGATGTTCTCATCTGTTTAATTTTTTTTCGGATTGCGTTGAATCATAAGATTTTTTTTCGCTTCAGCGAGTTAGACGGGATGTACGTTTGGGATATACCTCGTCACCGCCACGGGAATGTGGAATTGCTATTTCTGGTATAAGACGACCAATGCACATATGGACACTTTTGACATTTTGTTAAGTTTGATCCAGCTTTGCTTCCGGAGGAAATTCACCATCACTGTGATACACAATAAAATATTTAAATTTTAGCAAACTTCATGCAGTACTCGTGTTCCACAGAAGTGGACCACTAATATGGGTTGACTGATGTTTCATGCCCGATAGGACCATCTCTAAAAGGCTCCAACTGTAAATAGCCAAACACGAGGGTAATTCAGGTGTAGTGATTCACCTTTTGTAGATGAGGATAATTCTTGTGGAAAACAGCACAATGTACTGTTTGACACAGTGACTGCTATTACATCTTCTGGAAGGCAACAACACGTTCTTCCAGATGATGGGGAACATCTTTAAAAAAGAAAATTCATGAATCCTGTGGTTACTCTCGGATGGTGAACAATCTGCGAGCCGCGACTGGAGCCACTTTCCCCCCGCTGCAGCCTTGGTCCGCCGTCACAGCCGTCGTGACCCCGACAGCCTCCGCCTGTTCCGCCCTCGACGACTTCTCGGGCCGCTTTTAGTCTGGAGCCTTCCCTTTGACTTAAGCCGGCAAAAGGGTGACCCCGCCAGGAGCGCGAGGCATCCCCGAAGGCTTCGCTCTCGGGATCATCGGAACACGCGAACCTCTCCACCACAAGAAGGCGTCGAATCCTCGGAGAGGATCGTATTGCAATTGGTGAACGACCATCACTGCGGCGTGTCACCTATCGGGCCGAACGAAACAATGTATCGCACGTGCGTTTGAAACTCGTTGTGTAGGCATCTTAGCATAGAGCACGAGCTGTAGGATCGGAGCAAATGGGTTCTTGACCAATCGGAATTCATTCATACACTGTCTCAAGTGGCAGACGAATCTTGAAAATGCTGTAAAGACAGCTGTTATCACGTTTGTAAATTATCAGAAAGCCGATTACAAAAGTGGTAATAATTGCTGATTGATCCAGGAAAGTCACTCCGAGTCCTATGACTCTTCTTCAAGAGGGTCCTGCAGCGGGGGGTTTATTTTAAGTCTTCAGCCAAGTGATCAGTGTTTCGCACACCTTCAATTGGCGCGGTTGACTACGTGCGGTGCAAAAGAAGTTCGACACACGAGCATACTTCCACATCTACCCTAATAGATGTGGAAGGAAACCAAGTTCCCAGGGAAAACCCACACAAGTGAGGGGTGGGGGCAAAACTGTCTCCATATATATGGAAACAGCTGGAGGTTAGTCCACTTGCTCTGCTGCCTTCTGCTGGTGAGCCAGGACGTGGCACCTCTAAATTGTAATGGAGGGGAGATTCACAACAATTGTGTGATCCACCAGTACCTCCCCTCCACAGTGCTGGCATGCGGCACCACCGCCGGGCTATAAAGATGAATGCAGGGTGGATACAATACATTTAACAACACGCACAATGGGTGCATTGCACGTCCAAAATCTCTCGGCGTTATCCAGAGCTTACCAGCGAAAAAAAGGTGACCATTTTATCGTTTAGCCCACCAACTGAAAGAGTTGAGAAAACGTGGCCATGCTGGCTGCTGTCGCAGAGCTTCTCCATCGAATCCGGTGCACCAAGTCATCGACCAGAAAACACCTCTACTGTCACGCTGTCCGATGGCTCTATTTCTCTATCCCGGTCTCTCTCCTCCTTGTCACTCTGCCGGGGCTCCTCCCCCCTCACCTGTCACTCTGCCGGGGCTCCTCCCCACTCACCTGTCACTCTGCCGGGGCTCCTCCCCCCTCACCTGTCACTCTGCCGGAGCTCCTCCCCCCTCACCTGTCACTCTGCCGGGGCTCCTCCCCCCTCACCTGTCACTCTGCCGGAGCTCCTCCCCTCTCACCTGTCACTCTGCCAGGGCTCCTCCCCCCTCACCTGTCACTCTGTCGGGGCTCCTCCCCCCTCACCTGTCACTCTGTCGGGGCTCCTCTCCCCTCACCTGTCACCCCCCACACCGTCCCGCAACACACAGCGCCGAACCGCGAGGGAGGGGCGGAACGAGGGCGAGGGGGGGGGCTCGCAAGGCCCGCAACGCTGATCACGTGAGGATGTTCATCTCAGCAGGGGAGGCTTGTTTCTGAACTCGGTCTATCACGGAGGGCACAACACTTCCCTTAAACTCTGCTGGCATGATTGCCCGCCATGTCCTCGTACCTCTCCATTATTAAGGGGGCACACTTCAGATGATTAGCATGCCGAACATTGTCCACAGTTTGCCATGTACTAAAGCAATGCTGTAAAAATATATAATGCTATTCCCAGAAAGCCGTTTCGCTAATAGGCAATGTAAAAATATGAAAGGAAGGACAAATATGAGGAGGCATATTGTCTGCTTATTTACTTTAAGGTTTTAAGGGTTCTCAGTTCATGCCCAAGACTCGGAGAAGCAGTTTCAAGTGTGGAATAACTACGGGTAAACAACATAGCATGTAAAATGTGTAAATTGTGCAGCACATGATTAGCACGGTTGGCTACGTACCGTGCGAAAGAAGTTCAACGTACATTTACGAGTGAGAAAACGTCTCATTGGAACACACGCAAATATTAAAAGTACAACATGTTTATATGAGTGAATCTTCATATATTAGGGCACACATCATAATCATTATTTAGCAAAAACCTTGGGATACGAAGCAAGATTTCCATTGCATGTTTCCAGTTCTCGGACAAGCTTCTACTGAAATGCAAGCATGGACGAAACGTATTTATATACTGCTACAGCTGCTTAGCTAATGCTTACAAAAATGAAACACACGAGAAAATATAATATTGAAACCTTTTACTGATTGCAACAGATATAACGCTGTGTGGTCTAAACGTAGAGTTGCAAAATGCGGTGCTAATTTAATCGCCAATTAAAGATGTAAAATCATACGATTATCAGATCACAGTGTCATTAGATGAACACGTATCCCTTGCTCGTACGAAGAGCAGCAGGGCCTTAAGCCATCACTTTGCGAAAACGCCCCTGGAAAGTGATGAGTCTCCTGCATATGACACATCCTCACACTTTAGAGAATGGGTTATCATCCATCCATCCATCATAAATGACTGTTAAAAGTAATTTGTCTGGGCCAACAATTGTACATTGTAGTTTATTCATATATTTTTCTGAAATGTTTTCAATATTTCCCCCCTGTAAAACGGACGTTGTTTTTGCTCTGCTGTAGTGTAGTATGTTTTATGTTATCAATATGGTGACACGGGTCGATCACTATTTTCGCCTGCTTAATATTTAAAACAAAAGTCCCATATACGTATTCACTTTGACCCTCAGGTGTATAAGTAATTGACACGTGTCAGGGAGACACTTTGTGTGTTTTTTATGACACATACAGAAAGCACCAGATCACGCATTTGAACGTATAGACTGTAAGACACATGCTGTGAGTGAGAACATATTAAGGTCATCATTTCAAAGGGGAGGTGTGTCCTTGTCACGTCACATTTGGGAAGGTCTGAAACAGCTTCTAATACCATTTCAACTTCTGTGCATTTTTGTGACAAGAGATTAAACCTGGGTCTCAGGAAATAGAACACGGTACGTGAATCATTAAGGCCTTACATCCGAACAGAAATATCGCATCAAGAAGATGCTTCTGCAACTGCTGCATCTTATTGGATATTAAGTCTAAATCCAAACAGCCATAATTAACATTAGTCTTTAACATTTTTTTTCTTTAAAGAGCGACGCTACAGCTCAATTACTAAAACCAAAGTTGTTGCCGCTTCTCTTTCCGCTTCCTTGTACGTGTGTTGAAATTATTCTGCACCGTACGTAGCCAACCGTGCTAATCGGAGCTCGACCGTGATGAGATGACGCCACCGCCTTAGAAGCATGTCCCTGCAGCTCCCCCCTCCCGATATAGCGCTACAAGCCGTGCCACACGTTTTCCCACTTGAGTTTTACCCGTGCGCAAGAGGATAGAGCGAATTCACATGTTAACGAGGACCCAGCGACTTCGTTTCATTTACAAGATCCGCTGCACTGACGTTACGTATTCATAGAATATGACTAAGCACGTGTGTGCGCCTTAAACATGAATGACAGATTATTCGCATGGGCTGGATTGTAAATACAGGACTAGCGCTTACTTGCCGAGTCTGTTAACGCGATAGTTGACTTGTGATGCGATGTAATAATTATCCAACGAGCTGATGTTGACCCATTTCGGTGGACATCCTCTCACTGCGTCCCTTGACCTGGCCCCCACGGTTCTTATTTTTCATCGTTTCTGCTGAACTCCCGTCTCTCCGTGTGACTCCAAGTATGCGTCTCTCCATTCTTTGTGCATTTTAAAAAATGCATTCGTGACAATGTTTATGTGAGCCATACATCATAGCAGGTAATATGCACTGATTAAAAACGTTCTTTTATAGGCACATCGGTATTCTGCATATCATCAAGTGAACTTCTGAAAAGCGGTTCAACCTGCTCTCGCTCGCCTCTCTATTCCATCATTATTTTGGTGCCATTTCAGCTTCTAATAAGCGCTCTTTACATACGCTGTTTTCGAGATGTTGCCTCCTACGTATTTTTTTTTGAACAGTCAAATTTGTTTTTAAATGTTTTAATAAATGAGATCATCAACCAGTCACCGCTGCTGCCTGCCCGATACATGCCGTGTTCTGGTGTAACAGGCGGACTGCACTCAAGCTACCTTCGAATGTCGTGGCATGGCTTACAAAACGTATAGCTGCAAATGTAGCCCGTAGCTTTTTTCAACCACCGTACGAAAGAAGAATCTGCTGCTGCGTGAAGGTCTCTCCCATGGTCCCGCAATATAAATCTAACAATCCACCTGCACCCGAGCTGATCCCTTGATTATGACGACTACCATACACGAGACGACCCCCGTGCTACGTTGATTTCATTATTCTGTAAATCCCCGCTCGGCACAAGGTTTAGCGGAATTACAGGAACACCGGATTACGGCGCACGAATATTGACTGTATGTTGCGAATACACACATGAATACAAATATACACACACACACACGCATGACACCTGCACACAGGGCATGTATGCATGCGGTTACGAACAAAACATTGGGAATGGAACAAGGCAAGGTAACCATTTCCGTTGGTGGCCCTGAACCAACGGTGGAAATTCCACGGTCTTTGACAGGGGCCAGCATTGGACAAGAATCGTCGACTTCCCACATAATCGTATTTACACTGAACTTCTCACACGTACATTTTTTTTTATTAAATCCAGGGGGCACGCAGAGAGCGCGGAAGAGACTTTTAGAGGCGGCCTAGCAGCAGCAGTGCCTGCGCGGCGTTTCACACCCGTGGCGTCAGGGCCACGTGGAAATCCCTGGGCCTCAAGACGACCCCGTAAATCCCCTCTAGGTCCGGCAGGGCCTTTCCCGGGATCGGTCCTGCTGAGAAGCGTTGCAGGATGGACGCCGTGAAGAGGAAGAGCTGCAGCTTTGCGAGCGCCTCTCCCAAGCAGACGCGTGGGCCAGCGCCGAATGGGAAGAAGCCCTCGTTCGGTCCCATCGAACGGCGCTGGCGACCGCACGGCGACAGGAAGCGGCCTGCACGAGTGGGGTGCAGAGTTAGCGAGCGCCCATTAAGGCTTCCGTGGAAATGGTGTGCAAGTAGGTGGCAGGGTGGCACACTGATCAGGTATGCATGTTGAACTTCTTTCGCACCGTACGTAGCCAACCATGGAACAAAGACGGTTACCGCATCGCGCCCTTTCAGATGCGCTTCTGCGGCCGTCTGGAACGCTCCGCCTTCCGTTATTGGGATGCCACTGGAGCTATCCACTTTTAAATCTAGATTGAAAAGTAATTTATTTAGAAATGCTTTTGTGTTTAGCTTGTTGGCTACATACGGTGCAAAATAAGTTCAACATACATACCTACAAGGGCCTGGGCTCGAATCCTATATCGGCTGCCTTTTTGTGTGGAGTTTGTATGTTCTTCCCCTGTTCTGCATCGGTTTACTCCGAGTTCTCCAATTTCCTCTCATAGCTAAAAGCACACAATTGCATTGAGGTGACCAATCATCCTAAAGAGTTGGATAAAGTTGCCAAGAATCTGCCAGCGCTGGAGTTGGGATTGATGGATCGCACCTCCGATTAGCCTGATACATCGACGTACTTTAGAAAGCAGTAGAGAAAGTAGTTTCCTGACCTCTGGTTGGGTATCCCCTTACATGCATGGGTTTTTTTCTTCGAGTACTGTAATGCTTTCCCACTCACATACTCAATTATAAAACGGCAATCACATCACGCAGGGCCCTCCTGAGGAAATCATGCCTACTCATTGCAACGTTTTCTGTATAGACAACTGTCAGCATGTGCGTGTATTCATTCGTATGGAGGCAATTGCCCTACAACAATCGAGGTTCGAGGAGCGACGCTCACGACAACGAGCCAGGCGATTAAAATCCAGCGAGTTGGCACAGGCTGGAGCAATGGTGGTGCATCTGCCAGTCATCTCAGCCTGGGTCTATCCCGTGATCTCCTGCCAGCAGCGACCGCCTTTGGGACTTCATGAGTAGCCTCAAAGCGCACATAGCCTGGCACAACGCCGAGGCGATGTCACCGCCACTTCGTGAGCTGTCAGCTGTTGTGTGTTGGTCAGCATGTATTAATGTGTACTACATGTGGAAAAAGTGTGAATGCATTTATGAGCGTGTAGATATTTCTGTATCTTGTACAATGGTTAAACATACATATTGCGAGCTAAATAGTCCAAGGGCATTCCTAGTTGAGACCTGCCTAGGCAAACAATACCTCCTTTCCACTGGTACATCTGACCCAAGCCAGCAGAGGACACTCGCGGTGAATGTTATAGTCCACTGAATAACAACCTGATAAACTGGCCTCACGACCACTGAATATAGGGTGACGCCAGTGGGAAATATTACTGCGGCCTCCTGAGCCAAGTTCGCTTGGCATGGCTCGGTTGCGCATTGGAATATATATATGTGTAGAATCAGAAATACAATGTCAAGAGGGTGCCAGCTTTAACACAGCACATGGGGCAGGGGGAAAATGGCAATGGATTTTCTGTACCGGGATTGAACTCGTCGGGTTTCTTCCACAGGCTCTCGTCGTGGTGGACAGCCCACAGGTTGACGATGACCTCAGTGCCCTTCTTCACAGGAAACTCGCCGATCCTTGAAAAGCAACGACAACAAGCAGGCTTGATGAGTCTCGAGTAAGGCGAAGCCCGGTAACATCTATATGAAAGACAACCTCCTGTTGCAGTTCATGGAATATCAAACCCGCTGAAAATCTCTTTTCGTTATTTTGTCACTCAATGGCACCGGTTTTAGGACCACACCCACCTTGCTGATGAGATTTGGTGACGTTTAAACTATTCCACAGGTACATTCATAAGCACATTTTACTGCCAAATATTAATTTTGTAAAATAGAGTAATACATTATAGAACATGTTTTCCCTTGAGGCCACAGGAGGCCTTCGAGATCGATGTTTCTCAGCAGTATTATTGAAGCAGATTACAACTTTTGTCGTGACTTTCCGAGGCTGTTCAGAAAGTCACAACATGTAGATTTTTATTAAACAGGTGGGAACTATATTTAATTGTTAGAATATTTCACCTGTTATTTCCCTCGGGATGGAACATCTTTTTCACACGTGCCGAACATCGCCCCTTACTTGCAGACTAATTCCAACTGGCGAGCCTGTGCTGAAATCACCTTGCCTCAAGTAGAGACATCCGCTACTGTGGGTTCCCCCTTGGAATGTTTGAGACGTGGATGTGACATAAGCGCTTCGAGTTGCCGAAGCTTTTAAGCAATAGCGTCCGAATACAAACATCGTTTCCCCCCCCCCCTGCCCTGCCATAAACGTGAATTCACTAATCCTCCTGATCCTGATGCTGCCGGTGCTGCAACCGCCGCAGCCACTCACGTGGTGTCGCACATGGCCACGTGCGGGATGAGGATGGCAGCGACCGGTCTGATTCGTAGCACCTCGTTGATCGTCGCCTCCATGAAGGGGAGTTTACCACGGTCGCCGGCGCAGGGGGGCCTCTCGCGTCCAATCACCTCGTCCAGCTCGGCGTGAATGCGGCCCTGAATCTGCGAGTGCAAAGATTAAGGATACTCCGGTGTAGCCTTGACAAGACTGTCGGGGCAAGTGCCGTTGGCAAGAGCCCATGAAGGACGACGCCGTACACGAAGGCAGTGGTGTGGCCAGCACCGTTGTCCGGCCGCCTTTGTCTGCCCAGTGCTGATGTTTTTTATTATTATTATTATGCGCTTTTATTTAACTCACTCTGTTGTTGTTGTTGTCGTTGTTGTTGTTGTTGTATCCTCAAATCTTGTAACTCAATTTTAACCCACTTCCCAATGTGGTATCGACTGCAAACTTGGTATACTTATGTGGTGGGTAATTGTTGGGCGTAATACGCCGCCACCACTTTGGTTGAGCTGGTACTTCCAGTCAGGGCCCAACAGGGGGCAATAGCGAGTCCGACCTGTGACCAGCAGGACTCGGGGGTCAGGTATCCCGGTGGGGGGGGCGGGGACGGTTGGGAACCGGAGGGGGACACCCCAGGACCCCGGGTGGGAGACTGAGAGGGATTGCACAACAATCCAGGTCCCTCGAGAAGGTTCCAGATGGTGGGCGTGTCCAGGGGCGGGGTGACCCTGGGAGCCCCATAAAAGCCAGACCACAGAGCGGCTGAGGCCGTTCGCCTCAAACCGAAGTTCCAGAAGCCACCTGAAGATAGGACCCTGGACCCCAAGCCCCGACGTCTTTCTGAGGGCCGGGGCTCAGTGAGGCCAGTGGTCAATAGGCTAGGACCCTGAGGATCCCTCAACCCGACGTCCTTCTAAGGGCCGGGTCTGGATGGGCCAGGGTCGTGACTCGTTCCTTGGCTGGGTCGAGTCAGCCTCCCCTAGGTCCCGCTAGGGCTACAGGAGCAGTTAGCCCCAGTGGCTAGGGCACGTTAGCTCGGAGGCTGTAACCTCCCTAGGTTGTGGGTGGAAGGGGCCATTACCCCTTCGTGTTAGGGACCTAGTGTTGTGTTGCTGTTACATTATATAATAAACGTGTTGCCTCCCACGAAGACTCCGTCTCCATACAAACCCACTACACTTATGTCATACTGATGACAATACTATATTCTATAATACAAAAATAAAAGGTATATATTTTTAAACATTCTTTTTTATATGTTATGTTTCGGTTTGGGTCTAATTTCCCACGGTCAACTAACGTTGGCTGTAATTTCCCACGGTCCCTTGCGTTATGCCCCACGCTTTTATTTGTATTCAGTTACAACAACAGTATATTAAACATATATAATGCAAAGTACTTGAACAGAAAAAATATTTATAACTTTTTACTAAATTTCATAAAAGCGTGTTTAAAAAAAGTGTTTTTTATATATATTATTTACACTTCAGATATTCATCACCCATGTCGGCCTCTGAGCAGGAATAGAACTCAGGTCGCCAGCTGCACCCACTATTCCAACGCATGGATGCATGCATGAAAACGCACAAACACATACACACACACTCACAGGCAAAAGCGCAAACACATACACGCACACACAACAAAGACAAAGATCCCCCGTTTAGCTTTAAAGACTGTAGGTGCAAGTGCTTCTTTGTGTTGATAATTATTATTACCCAGCGAACCAGGCACTCATTTAAGGCTGGCTCGACCTAGGGGAAGCCCAGGACCGAGTCAGATATTCGTCAGTGATTTTGTACATAAGACAAAGGTCTCCTGGTATAGTCTTTTTTGGGGCAAGTGCTGTTAGCGAGTAGTAGCACCTTTGAAGGCCGGCACGGCACACATGCAATGGGTGGCCATCACCACGCCCGACCGCCTTTGTCTCCCCCAGTGTCGATGTTTACTACACAGCACCAGGTACTCATTTGAGGCCGAGTAGACCTAGGGGAGGCCCAGGACCGGTTCAGACAATTGTCACCGGTGGTGTTGCCCGTGAGCGGGAATCGAACCCGGGTCGCCGGGTTGAAGCGCAGCGCTAACTGCTGCACCACCGCTCCCCGCAACACGCACCACATGCACGACAACACACAAACACACGTGGTGAACGGGCGGCACTGCTGCCTGACCCTCGGGGGAGGGGGGGTGGCTCGCCGCACCTCGGGGTGGTGCACCATGAAGACGAGGATCCACTTCATCACCGTCGTGCTCGTCTCGACCCCTGCTCCGAAGATGTCCCCGGCGATCATGAGGAGGTGGTCGTCGGTGAGCTCCACGCCCGGCGGCCGCGGGGAGACGCGTGCCGCCTCCAGCAGACGGTCTAGCAGATCGCGCGTGACGCCCTCCTGGAAAGTGGCCTGGGGCGGTGGAGGAGTGGGGGGGTGGTGGAGGAGTGGGGGGCGGTGGAGGAGTGGGGGGCGGTGGAGGAGTGGGGGGCCGGTGGGAGCGAAGCAGAGAGAGAGCGAGACGTCGATACAGGGGGGGATGGAGGGGAGAGTTAAGCGCAACAAACGCCAAAATCCACACGATAAAATATAACAATAGGTCTTATGCCCTTAAAACAGGTGGTAAGATTCATAATACAGGGAGGTTTTTTTTTTGGGGGGGGGGGCGGTAGATCGCGTAAATATATATGTGTCGACATAGCAAACTAGTAAGAGTTGTCAAGTAATTTACAAACTGAGTACGACGTTTCACATTTATATATTTACTCGATCTAACCCCAAAAAACTGCATTATGAATGATATTGGTCGCGAAAGCCTACGTGTTCAAAGTGTTGATGTATAAAGACCAAACAGCATCCTTTTTCAAGGAATCCCGCCTGCATTAACCACACGCACTTTTGGTCAACATGCAAACAAAAAACGTGCTCTGATAATATGATGGCATTGTCTTTTAAACTGATTGGTTCACACCAGAGACAGCTTTCTTTTGAGCCTAGTCTCAAAGTGTTAGACCAGAGAGCACCAAAAGGCGAACAGCACAAAGACAATGCCACTATCAGGGCATCTATAGCTCGGGGTGAGCAGCTACATCATCTTAACACAACTGTTTTATTGCCAAAAAGGGTAAAACCTATTGTTATATTTTGATACTGGCAAAGAAAGCTCCCACATCGCACGATTAAGTCCGTGACACCGGGAAAAAAGGGTGATGACCGTCTCATGGCTCGCCACTCTGTTACGTGGATGCGCGTGCGTACGTTTGTTGGACTTCTTTCGCACCGCACGTAGCCAACCGTGGCTTATCGGAGGCTGCGGGGAAAATCCACATCGAACGTTCTCGACACTCATTGAACGTCGATCATGGACCTCCGTGCCAGGAGGGCAACATTTGAAGCAATGCATATGAATCCACGATTCTGACCGATGCTGATGCTGTTGCTGATAACAAGGTAAATATACATCCCCTCTGGAACAACCTTTCTGAACTGAAGCGTGAGGCTCTGTCAGAGGGAGAACGTACTGAGTTGCAACATTCCTGGGAGCTGGCAGCCCTGTCCTCCACCAGTCTTGCCCACTCTCACATCGGCATGCACACAAAATAAAAATAATGGGGTCAAAGATTATAAGAATGTTATAATTGGATACGTAATTTGGCATTCGTGCCATTTTTAGAACGAAGGGCTATGTTTCACAGACGGATATTGTCTGCCAGTAGGGACTGATGTTGCTTCGCATTTTCAAATTGAGTCATTCGCGGGCAATTTTTTTTCAATTCGGCAAAAATTTGTACCATTACTCAACAGCTTCCTCTTTCGAATTACATCACGGGATGTTTAACGTCGACATTGAAATAGACGGCGCGTAATAATTGATGCTTAGTACATCGACAAATCGTAAATAAATAGGCACTGCCTTCCTCTCAGGACCCGCCTTCCAATTGTTGAAGCTACCATCCAAAACTCTGACTGCTGCAATGTCGCCTACACATCATCTTCAAACACTCCTTGATAAACTAAATCATCTTCGTCATTGGGAACCCATCACTGCGGGCTTCATTATGAAGCTAATCTAACCTTGCCGACGTTACGAAGAAATGTGCACTGGGCGACCTTCATCTGCAAAGTTCTTAAATCCAAATCAGCTCAGTATTGAACTGATATGCTACATCCATTAAAAAAAACACCCTTAGACCTCTGAGTGCCTGTTGACCATTCCTAGATTGAGAACTCAGACTGGTTCCAAATTTTTAAATGTTTCTCATAACCAAGCTTAAAATGACCGTCTTTTACATTTTTAAGGCCATGCTGCAGGATTACCTCTGGCAAAGTCGTAAATGCTACAAATAAGGTACGGTATGTCTGCAGTTTATTTCCATATGCCTGACAGGATGTTTTTTTTTATTTGATTTAAGTTATTGTTTATCCTGTTTTCAGTAAGTTTCGGTGTGAACTTTGCTGTAATAATGTTTTGTTATTGTTAGTTTTCACATTCCCATCTTGCAATGACCTGTAACTGCGGTCACTGCCTTGAGTAGTTTACACCCGCAGCATTATGCTCTACTGCTGAACATGGTCACCACGCCAAATGATGATGAGGTTAAAGACAATGTGTAGATGCTTGCTCACCCTGTGTTCTTGAAGCTGCTTCTCAAGGAGTTTGTCGCGCGCACGCACGCATGCGCGCAGCTTCCTTAGCGACATGCTCGGGAACACCTGAGCAGGACACGACGGAAGGGAGAAATGTTCCGGAGATTCATTATTATTGTTATTACTTTTGTAATGACAGTAGAGCCTGCATGTGGTGTGAGTGGACTAGTGGCCACAGGAGGTAATGCCACGGAGGTCAGCTTTCAGTACAAATGCACTAGTGGCCACGGGAGGTAATGACATTAAAGGACGCGACCTGGGCTTGGCTGTCTTCACTCCAACGCTGTCCTCTGGACAGTCCAATCCCTTCACCTGATGAAGGCCACGTGTTGTGGCCGAAACGTCGTGATTTTTGTTGTTTTATTTTTTACCTACGTGACTTTACCGAATAGAACCAAAGAGTAATGACAGGGGAGTCAGTTGTGAATGCGAAGGGACTGGTAGCTACGGGAATGTTCGAGAAGGGGGCGTGGTCAGGTGACGGAAGAGGACGGTGGAGTCTGCCGGTAGAGGGAGCATCCAGAATCAGCGAGAATGATCGAGAAGGGGGGCGTGGCCTCGTGTTGGTATATAAGGGGGAGATGCGCGGGAGACTCTGGGCTGTTGCAGTGGGGATCTCCGCCTGTTGTCAAGTTAATGTGTCTTTAATCAAGTGCCATCTCAAAAGAAGTGTTTACCCAGGAAAGTATGACTCTTTTTCAGAAGGGTCCTGCCAAGTTTTCTAGTAGAGGGTGGTACTGCTATGTGTCATCCTAATTGAGTATTTTGCAATGCAATATTTGGCCAATCTAAGAACACGGGGGAAGCTCACGCAGACAAATTCCACAGAGAAAGGTGCCTGAGCAGGGTATGAAACTCAGGACTTTCTTGCTGTGAGGTGCAAGGTGCAACCACTGTGCCCCCCTGCCACTTAAGTTCAACACCCTGGTGTGGTGTTTAACTTAAGTGGCAGTGCGTGTGCGAGCGCGTGTTACAGCACAATCTGACACCCTGGAGATAGCCATGAAGAGGGTAACTTAGGTGGACAAGTGACTCAGGGTTTAATGATAATTCTGGTGTTAAGGTTAAGATGTAATGTTCATGCTAGTGTTAGGGCTAGTATTCTGTTTAATGCTAACACTAATGTATAGGTTTGGATTAATATTAACACTCGTGTAACGGGATATTGTTAGGGTTAATGCTAACACTCGTATTTGGGTTATTGTTTGAGTTTCATGTTAACAAAGCGCACGAGGGTTCGCTAACGCCAATGCATGGGTTAGTTTTATTGTTAGGGTTTAATGTTGACACTAATGCATGCATTACGGTTAACGCTGACACTCGTGGTGTGGGTTAAGGTCGGAGTACCGCGGCCCAGTGAAGCCGAGGACAACACTGACCCTGAGCCAGGGGAAGATGTCCACAAGGTCGTCCTTGGCCACGATCTCCACAATGCCGCGGCTGTAGTCCAGCATGGTTTGCAGACCAGGGTCCCCGCGGGAGTAGCGCGTGCCGAACACAAGGCGCATGATCACGTTGGTGGAGGCGCGGGACAGCTCCTGCTCCGGGTCGCTCGTGGCGCTGCTGGTGGAGTCGGATGTCGTCTCTCCCAATGCTGATATGAGCGCCAGCGCCTCCTCCATTACTGTGGGGAAGACGTTCGGTGGAGCCGTGTGATATACATCGCACAAGATGCATGGCAATATGTTAATGATCTTGGTCGTTGTCTCAATCAATCAGAGATCAACCTGTTTGAAGATAATTCTGTCACTTTTGGTCAGAGGAAAGTCAAACTCACCAAACGCAAGGGGAGGGGGTGGGGTACAGAAATTCTGCGAACAGCAGCCCGAGCTCGACTTGACAGGGCCTCATGAGGGTGGAAAACTGGGCTCACTTCCCCACCCCCCAGCTTCAAACACTCCTTAATAAACTAGATCCTCTTTACCACTCAGCTCTGAGATTCACCTTCGATGCCCCTTATATAACGCGTCACTGTGAGATGCATTTTAAAGCGAATTTAACCTTGCTGAAGTTATGACGAGATCTACACTGGGTGATCTTCAAGCTACAACATTCTTAAATCAAAATCAGCTCGGTATTTTACTGATATTCTTTAGCCATTCAAAAAAATCCCAAACACATTATAGGGCCCTCCTATTGCCTGTTGACCATTTCTAGATTGAGAACTCAGACTGTTTTCAGGGCCTTCTCTTGCACAGCATCCACATTTTGAATGTCCTCAGAACCAATCTTACTATCTCACAATGACCTTCTCTAGCTTTGTTTGTGTTAAGGTCATGCTGCAGGATTACCTCTGTCATAATTGTGGATGCTATAACTAAGCTCCATTGTGTGTGAGGCTGTACATACGGTTTATTTACATACATCTGCGAGAGGATTTTTTGACAGTTTTTTATTTGTTTTTTAAGCACGCAGTAAGTATTGGCATAACTTTCCTGGAAATAATTGTTGTGTTTGCGCTTGTTAAAACATTCTCCCTCTACAATGTCCAGAAACTGCCGCCACTACCAATGATCTTCGGCTAATAATCCTGTACAACTTTGATCAATGTACCTTACCCACTGAAAGAGTCTGAGTAAAAATACTCATTAATATCACTTTTGGAGAATACAAGTAACTACATTAATGAGCATAGAGCTCGCCTCCTTCCCATATCTGCCCTTCCACATCATGCTATTAAAAATAATATAAGCCTCAAGTTTCCTGGCTGGTTGCTGGCTGGGCACCTCGCCACCCTAGCAACAATAGGTCTGTTGTTGTTCGTGCATGCCGGCCATTGCCACGGAAACTAGCTGTTCCACGGCGTATTTCGTGTGATAAATAAACATCGAATCGAAATGGCAGAAGAAGTTCAGCGACACTGAAGAGGTGAAAGTAATGAATACAGAAGACTGACACGGTTCATTTAAAATTACTCTAACCTTTTCATGTTGTGCTCCTATTAATGTAATTATTCCACCAGAATATGATTTACATCCTACAGACTGTAAAAACAAATCCTCAATTTATAATTATCTTGCCATTTTATTACGTTGAAAAGAAATATCAGATATTGAAAAAATCTTCCCATAAGCCACACGGCCTTCTCGGAGTGATTTTTTCAGAAGCATTGGTTTAATAATAATAAAAAAACCCTCTGGACTGGTTTCGACATTCAGTGTCTCATCAGCTGTTATGGGATGGATCGATACATTCTGCTTATTTATTGCAATTAGGCGATAAGCACCACCTCGATGCTCATTTGAGCAGGAAATCTCGTTAACTTTGAAGAGTGAAACCTGTTTGGTTGGATTGGCATGATACAAACAGAGGACGTCTGTAGCAGGGCACGTGGGAAGGTGACCCCACCCAGTGTGGTCAAGAGGTCATTTAAGGACCTCGCAAGAAGTTGTCATCTTCCAGCGGCTGATCTCTGAAATGTCACGAAGAAGGCCCATTGCCCAATATGTTGCTGATTGCACTGTGCACAGATTTTTCCTTACAGTGCCGCAGTGTTACTGACGAACGTTTTTAGAATTATTTATACATATATAAAAGAGTGTATCGCTGCCAATGCAGTTGCACCCAAAAATAGAAAATTTTCAAACACTCACACCTTCACAGAGGTTTGAAAGAAAATGTGGCTTTCATGACAGTTTCACAATTTAAATATAACGGGGGGAACGTTCTGTTATCTTTGTGAGTATTTGATGCACAGCGCCGTTTGGTTCAAGAATACATTTTCAATGTACGCATCGTCTCGCCCATACTATTTGATTGGCTGAGACGATCGTCGTCGCACGTGCGGACGGTCAGATACACACGTGGCCACCTTGTGATTGGACACGTCGGTTGTGACGTTACCGATTGGGCACGTCGGCTGTGACGTTACCGATTTTCTCGAGTGCGCCCATTCCGCCGGTCTTCGTGTAGAGGGAGCCCAGCACGAGCTTGCGGTGGAAGCGCCACGATGGGCCGACGTCCGTGAATGCGATGTCCTTGCCTCCCCTCGACAGGATGTCTGTGGTCACCTGGTCGCGTCGTTACAGCATTCGACGACAGTTCAAGATCACGACGTTGTCGTGGCCAAAAGCTGTGAATGCCGCTGTAGCTCATTGCCAGGGCATTCTCTCCTCTAACAGATCCCGCAGTTGCTGCGCAGTCGACAGGCGACTTCCAAGATCTAGCCTGACAATATACAAGCATCTTGCCTTTTGGTCTTCTCTTTAGTGGAGAACACGCTAATGCCTGTCTCGTCAATTGGCTCATAGCCATCCTGCACACACGTCCTTCCCAGAGCAGCGGTTTAGTGCTGAATCGTATCTTAAACATTCACCCGTCATGTTCTCTTTTGGACTTAAGCATCGCTTATCCTGTCTTGCCGTGAAATTGTCAAAACAGTCGTCGACGTCTCATTTTGCAGCAAAGTGAGAATGAAACCGGAGGGCCGTGGCATGGCCCAAGTAGAGATCGTAGCCAAGTTCAGATCAAAAGCAGCCTGTCAGAAGAGTGTGCGCACAAGAGAGAGCACACATAACAGGGAGGAGGTTTGCCACTATAACCCGAAACTTAACATCGTCCTAAGAAATGTTGCTGTTCGTCCATACGGCATAGGCATCGTCTTTAGCATGCCGATTGTCAAATATCCAGTGGAAGAGGATGAAATATAAAGACATTCACCAGCCTGCGCTGACGAGCATGGTCAGGTATGATACATAGCTGAATATAATTCAACACATAATAGGTGATGTTGAAATAATAATGCATTATTATAAACCTCACGGAGTCTCAGATCTCTTGTATCGAAGGGTCCTGCTGCAAAGGCATGTTTGGCCATGAATTCCAATAACTAGAGGGAGGTTTTCTTGTCGAAGGAAACCCGCGAACCCAGATTAAAACCCACCACGCATAGACAGAATCAAGAACCCATTGCCGTGCTTCAATATTCAATCCACCACGCAGCCAGCCACAATTCCTATAGTGTCCGCTATTCAGGCTCAGACTTGATTTTATCCCGGCAACGCTCAATGAGCTAAGCTGCTCTTTAACAAGGACAACCACAGCCCAAGACCGCTGTTGATTGTGGCGGCAGTAACATGACATTCATTGTAGGAAGGAAATGAAAACTAACAAAAGGGAAACTTATTTTACACGAAGCCCACGCGAAAACGTGCTGCGAACAGGATAAACAATAAAGTTATTGAAAATAAATGTAAAAGAATGCAATTGCAGTTGCAGACGTATTTTCCCATTCAAGCACGAATAACGCTCAGCCCTGTGGAGCGTCAACTCGGCGCCTGTTACGACGACTGAACTTGCAGGCGTGGGGATGAAAAAAAAACCCAGCAGTGCCAGGGAAATTCCACACCCACCTTAACCCATGGGGCCATTCATATCGCTCTCTGATAATCTTTTCAGTAATAAGAAAAAGAATCAGACAAAATGCTTTCTTCCCATACACATCCCATCAACCACGCAGCCTTGTGGGAGTGCATCGTTTCAACAGAATTGTTTTAATACAATACAAGAAAATATTGGACCGGTTTCAACATTCAATGTCGAATCAAAAGTCAGCCTCGCTTAAACCAATGCTGGTGAACTGCCAGATATTTATAGACCCTCTACTAGATATGCAAGAATCTAAAATACAGCATTATATAGTTTTGCATCGAACTAGGACCTATATCTAACTGAAAGAGTACTCGCCATACCGATCTGGCAGTTGATCAGCATTGGTTAAAGCCGGTGTAGATGACGGGATGTGCAACGAAATAAATTGTAAGTTTGCATGCGCGGATGGGACCGATTTGGGAAGGATGGAATTTTGTCCGCCGATCGATTTTGTGTGGTTCGACAGCCGTGGCCGGCGCGGTCCGCGCGACTCACCGCGTGCACGCGGCCCCCGAATTCGCGACCCTTCCTGATGAGCACGTGGTGAGCGTGCTGCGCGCTGGTCACAAGCACCGCGTGCCGGGCCCCCAGCTTCAGCGCCAGGGCGCCGCCACTCCTCGCCGCTCCGCCCTCCTCGCCTCCGCCACCGACCTCGAAGTCTCCCCTCGAAGTGCCGCCGTCGCCGCCGCGCTCCGCCGGGCGCGGAAGACTCCGTGCCACGGCGCCGTGCGTGCGGCCCAGCTGAGCCAGGTGGACGTGGGGCTGACTCGTGCCTCGCAGGCTCAGGAGGCTGCCCAGGACGGGCAGCGAAGGCAGCGAGGGCAGCGTCGGGGTCGGCTTCGGGGAAGCCGCGTCCCGTGGAGATTTGCTCGCCAGCGACGACGCCACGACGACGATCGTGACGACGATGATGATGAGGACGGAGATGGTGATGAGGTCGAGGATGGGAAGCATGGCTCGCGGGAGCTGTAGTCTGAACCGGTGCTTGATGGAGCCGGTGCTGTCAATTAGGATCTTGGTTTTTTTTTTGTAACCTATCTCCAAATATCAAAATCTGTGTCAAATGTGATGAAGGCTAATATGAGATCTTCTGCACCTATCTCGCTGTTGCAAATCGTCCTATATTTCGCTTTGCCTCATCTCTTCTCGAGTCACCGTCTCTCCACACGTTTCCTTCCCCCCCGCTAATTTGCGCTGTTCTCTTGGGCCTCCCGTGGTCTCCGCGCGCGCTGTGAAGAATTAGCTCGCGTGAGTCTCTGGGCCCACGCACTTGAACCTTTATGCGGGCGCGACAACCTTGGCGTCGAGAGATAAGAACGCGGGCGGCAGACGAGGGACAGAGATGTAGTGTGGGGTGGCGAGCGAGGGCGGGGCGGGGGCGGGGGAGACAGATAAAGTCACATATGCAATATAATATTAGAATTGTTATTATAATACGAGGCGTCATTTCAAATCGCATTGCAAAACAGCGTCGAAACGTGCAGTGGGCACAATTGCATCGCGCGCGCAGAGGCGCAGGACACCACAGAAAAGCGGGAATGCAGCCAGACAGAACCCGTGGCCAGATTGCCCAAACGTGGGGGTCCGTGATTGCCAGTGCCGGATTATCTTAGTAGCAAAAGTAGCACTTTCAAGGGCCCCGCGCTAAATGCTTTCAAGATATCAATTCCGGTTCAGTGATTCTGCACTTGCTCTATTACTATAGTACTATACCGCCTTCAACTTTTCTGAACGGCTGGGTGTTTAAGGTCAGAGATTTCTCGTATTATCTGGCTGTATAGGTAAACAATCAATGTGTTTTAATATTCACGTGTTTTATTTGATTTAGGGCCCCTTTATAACGTATGCTACAGGCCCCGCACTAGCTTAATCCGGCATTGTGTACGGCCAACTCCCTGAACAAGAGTTTACGCATGCGGGGGGAAACCAGTCTCCGGAGAAAAAGCCACTTGCGTGAGAGGGAAGTTACGTTCACTCTACATACACGTTGACATGAATCCACTTGCTGCACTGCCATCACAGAGAAAGCTACGAAAGACCGTCCGGCATGGCGTGGGCTTGTTGCGGCCCTTATGCTCCACAGGGAGTGAAGAAGAGTAAGTAAGTACTGCCATCATACACTGGCGAGCAAGGAGATGGCGACCTTGACGCCCACGGATTGGGGGGTTTCGCCGAAGTTTGTGTGATCACCATCAAACCTCGCTGGCTCCACTGCGCTGCATTTACAGGCCATGCGCCACGCATGTCCTGTAAATGTGATCGAGGTACAATAAAAGCCCCATGGAAATAAAATAACAAGTCAATGAGCCTATGGTCCCCTCTGAATTAATTGTAACAGTAATTAAGCAACAAAATTAGAACAGTTGCAACTCTCAATATTGTCCACAGTGTGGTTTGTTAAACACGTGGTGTTGATCTGTCCCAAAATAAGTCAGTGAATGGCTCGTTCAAATGAGAATTGAGGTGGTGCTCATGTCCTGTATACAGCCATGAGCCAGATGAGGACATTCCACATTCACAAGGCAGGCGCCAGTCTATCCAAAGGACAATAACCTTTAACTTTCCGGCAAAATGGTACACTTTTATCGACCGCAGGGAGAATTGCCAGGTCACCCCACAACAATGATTTGTACTCACAATCGTTCAATTGCGACATGCTCTACCACCGAGCCACCTAGCCAGAATAAGGAAAATTCCATATAAATATATATGAGTGCAGTGTGCATACCCACATTCAGTGCATAGATTCACACAGGCCAATAATTACATTCCCACAAGTCTGCATAAACACGTTCGCAAAAATCCAATATGTCCATTTCGTTTTCAGTGTACAGATAGGTGTACAGACAAGAAGTGCCTGGGTTAATTTCCCAACTCAGGCACCCTTTTCCGTGTCGAGTTTGTATGTTCTCCCCCTGTTCTACACGTGTTTCCTCTCTGTGTTCCGCTTTTCTTCCCATTAATAAAACAAAAAATACATGCAATGTAAGTTGTATTTGCCAAATATCACAATGCTGTAAATTGTACCTGCGAAATTACTCCTATTTGGATTGCAGGTAGCAACATCTCCCCCACTGCAAAAAATGTGGCAGGACCCTCCTGAAAATGTCTTGAGATTCAGAGAGGCTTTCCTCCGCTGCTCCTGACATGGTTGTCTGGCTTCATCGCCTGAATGTGAAATTGTAGTTGTTGCTCTGCATCTACATCAGCGTACGGAATAAGAATAAGATAGGACAGGAGTTGTTACGTGTGCAGTACAGTTCTGAACATACATATGGAAAACATCAAAATTGACGCAAAGCAATTTTTATAAATTCATAAAATTACTTTGTATTAACTTTTCTTCCTTCCTCTGCTAAACTGACTTGACCTTTAGAAAAAAAACCGCACTGACTTTCTTTAAAGTTTCACAATAAAAAACATCACAGTTCACATGTGTTCGGTGTCATCTCGGAAGATGCGTAGTAAATGCAGTTTCTGCATCATGAATCCATCTATGGTGGCATGATGTAAACGTCGTAAATGTGAGTAGTAAATAGGTCAGTCGTAAACCGGAGACCACCTGTAATGTTTCCCAAATTTTAAAACGAAATTTTTACTGACATTTAAGAATACAATAATATCCAATATTTAGTTGAATATTCATGTTTCACAAATTTTATGCACTCCAAAAAATGGGCTTTAAAACGAATACGATTGACATAAAAACTCACACTTGCTTCATTTCAGCAGAGGAATGTGCAACATCGATTTGAAATTCCCCAAAATGTGCTTAAATTAGTAATTTTGATTTGTACCTTCAAAGTAAAATGTATCAGGTTAATTCAAATATGCATACATAATTTTTAATTAAGTAACATAACTTTTCTGTGAATTATCGTTTTATTCTAACACCTCACCATGCCAAAATTGTAGCCTTAGTTATTGCATTTGCTTTCCAAATGCAAACATAATTAACACAATTAATGCGCAAACAAGATGACATTCTGATTTTGTCTCTCCACATACACTGCTCAACAGCCCAAAACATTTAATTTGTTAAGGAGGCATATTGTCTGCTCACTTTTTTGTTTAAATATTCTCTACAACGATACTTTAAATTATTTGAAGGGAATGTTGCTTGTGTGTGAGTACGTTTGTGCTTGCGTGTGCATGTTTGTGTTTGTTTTGTCTGTATATCTGTGCGTATACGTTTGCCTGATTGTGTCAAGGTGATCTCTGAGGCCTGAGGTCTCTGTCCTTCTCGTTCTCCCTCCCTCCCTCTCTCAGGGACATGGCCATATTGGATACCCTGAGCCAGCACAGATGAGATCCTGGGGTTACGGTTCAAGCCTTGGGGCTGCGTCTTTCTTTCCCCCTCTCGCTTGTTCATGCATGGCCCTGGTCGTGTCCGTGCCAGACACCACGCCTGCCCTACGATCCGAGGCTCAAGTCCTTGGGTCGCTGTCTGCCTTTATTAGGGTTTATAGTGGCTGAATGTCCCCCACTTTTCGTTCTTGCCACAATTGTCATAAGCGCTGCGTCTTAGGCACTGAGTCGGCACGCTTGCGAACGTGAGGTCCAAGCCTATGGCAGGGTCGTGTCTCTCTTTTATGGGGAACAATGGCCGTGTCTTCAATCCTAAGATCAAGCCCTAAACTGGGTGCGTTGTGCTGTCTTTCTCTCTGGAGGCCAAATAAATGTGATGGATGGGTTAGACAGCAACTAAGAGCGCTACGACTTGGTTCCTCATCCCATCTACCTATGGCACTGCCATTTCTCTTATTTTGTCTCATTCATATTTTTCACTCTTAGCCCCCTGATTCACTCAATCCCCAGCTCACTCATTTCCCACTGCTCCCCTCTAATCTCCCATTCTCTCGAATATCTCTCCCCCCCCCCCCTATAATCTGTTTCTTTGGAATGCAAGGATAAGGCTGCGGCCTTGCAAATTCTGGGTTCAACCAACAACATTGGTTTAAACGGCACGCCACACCCGAGGCATCTACGGGCATCTGTAGCATCAATTCTCGATCCACTGCTACCCTGCATCACATTTACAGTGAGGGAAAAAAGTATTTGACCCCCTGTTAATTTTGTACGTTTGCCCACTGACAAAGAAATGATCAGTCTATAATTTGAATGGTAGGTTTATTTGAACAGTGAGAGACAGAATAACAACAACACAATCCAGAAAAAACGCATGTCAAAAATGTTATAAATTGATTTGAATTTTAATGAGGGAAATAAGTATTTGACTCCCTCTCAATCAGAAAGATTTCTGGCTCCCAGGTGTCTTTTGTACAGGTAACGAGCTGAGATTAGGAGCACACTCTTAAAGGGAGTGCTCCTAATATCAGCTTGTTACCTGTATAAAAGGTACCTATCCACAGAAGCAATCAATCAATCAGATTCCAAACTCTCCACCATGGCCAAGACGAAAGAGCTCTCCAAGGATGTCAGGGACAAAATTGTAGACCTACACAAGGCTGGAATGGGCTACAAGACCATTGCCAAGCAGCTTGGTGAGAAAGTGACAACAGTTGGTGCGATTATTCGCAAATGGAAGAAACACAAAAGAACCGTCAATCTCCCTCGGCCTGGGGCTCCATGGAAGATCTCACCCCGTGGAGTTGCAATGATCATGAGAACGGTGAGGAATCAGCCCAGAATTACACGGGAGGATCTTGTCAATGATCTCAAGGCAGCTGGGACCATAGTCACCAAGAAAACAATTGGTAACACACTATGCCGTGAAGGACTGAAATCCTGCAGCACCCGCAAGGTCCCCCTGCTCAAGAAAGCACATATACATGCCCGTCTGAAGTTTGCCAATGAACATCTGAATGATTCAGAGGACAACTGGGTGAAAGTGTTGTGGTCAGATGAGACCAAAATGGAGCTCTTTGGCATCAACTCAACTTGCCGTGCTTGGAGGAGGAGGAATGCTGGCTATGACCCCAAGAACACCATCC